TGTTATTATAACAAACTATCATTCCTGGAATAAACCACTTCTTTGTATATAAATTTCTAAAACGTCCTTTAAAGTCATCAATACCCAAAACCTATGAAAACCATTCGTTCGACCATGCTGCAATTGTTCCATTGTTTTTCGATAAACTCGCAAACCTATATTTTTCGTCAATATCAACAAAATTGTCCCCGTCGGCCATATACAGTTGAAACGTAGCTAAGACTTACACGTATTTACAACCTTTCAATTAATATTCATAACACGCTCGGTTCTTCAAATGACACTGCACTGGCACAGCGAAGCTCGTACGTTGCTGTTTGGACAAGAACCCTCGAGAAGTTAGGTGCGGTTGGTTGCTTGTCAATTGATAGCATATTTGTAACACTTATGGTGGAACATATTAAATGCTCATTATTGATCCAAGTATGATCAATTGTTAAACTGTATCTTGTTGGCGCAATTTATGACTGACCCATACCAAGCAATATATGACAAACGGCAATGTTTTACTGACAAGCATATTTTACTGACGATAACGTCAATGGATGCAAATTACGCTGGGTGAAATATTTATATATTTTTCCTCACACTGCTTACTGGAAATCACACATGTCTAAAAAATCTACAACGGCTAAATATTTTTGCAAATCTCCAATATGTTATTAATTGACTATACGTAACTCTAGTTTAAATCTCTTCTTGTAACTGGCGCCACTTGGAAAACCACACCACAAACTGTATGCAATTAATCTCATGTTGCGATAAACTTATACAGCAATTTATATCATTCTTCAAGCTTCAGACACATCAGGGACGCTATATGTATATGTCAGCAGAAACATCTCAAGCTCATTATTTCAACTGTCTCGGGACTGTCTCATATAACAAACATATTGAAACTTTCAAACTTTGTCATTCAGTATTATTGAATAATGATCTTTCCTATTAGAATTATTAGAGAGCACCAATCCATAACTTTATAATATTAGTTTTATAAGATAGCACTCTATAACTTTCACTCGATCCACTTCTGTACCGCGGTCACTCGGAGAATGAGTTCAATACAACTCGGGTATTTGAATTACAGCATAACGCATAAGTAAACTTTAGCGACCATTATGTCCGCACAAAGTAAACAAAAATTATCGCTTACTTATTGTGAGCCGTTATTATAATATAACCTGCCTCATTCAGCTTTATTCTCTCGCGAGCTCGGTTGTAGTGAGATCGTCTTAAGGGCTCTTTGGTCCTACCCGAGTTTACTGCTGCCAATTAAACATAAAAATTAAAAGAAAGGAAAGTAGGGAAGAAATTAAACATGTTCAGTTAGAACCTGTCTCACTAACTGAAGCTGATAGGAGCCAAAACAAATACAAGTTTTAGCAGATACCGGTAATTAGATTTCATTTAGATTGTACTTTGAGATATCCGTTAACCTGTTCTTGAATATAATCACCAACTTAAAAATCGTCCATAACTAACAAAAATGAATGAATGACCAGCACCACGAAACGCCGATCCTGATTTGAGATATGGTACCACGCAAGCGCTCATATCGGAAGTCTTTTCGATTTATATGAAGCGTAAAATAAGAACTAGTATATAACTGGAAAGCGCGCGCAACTCGACGTCTCTCTCATATTAGCATCTCCAGTGAACAATCGACGCGTCAAGAGGATCCGCGCGGGCGATTCGTGTCTCACATTTTATGTTCCCTGCAGTTTAAATGTTTGAAATATACCGGCTACTGTTTATTACCAAACCTTACGCACGAAGTAAAACAATCGTATAAACATATCAGTTGATACTTTTTCGTCGGTCGCCCTAAAAGCGCTGCCTCAAATTTTGTGCGAAAATTTGCTCAATACGCATAAAATTGGCTCAAAATTAATTGCAGTTGGCTCAAACTCATTACTATACTACTGCCTAATTCCTTCATGTTACGTCAATTGAGACGTAAATCAAATGAGACTAACGTTACCCAATACCTACATAATATACTCTTCAGAGAAAAATTATGATAAGCCAAGAATTTAAAAACGTACAGCTTGAAAATCAAAAATAAAATTAGAACCATGAATCATGTACACAAGTTTAAAAATGAATGGAACAAGGATTTTTATCCGAAACAATAACAAAGTTATAGAGATGACCCCCTCAAATTTTACTGTAAGTTCAATAGAGAAACAGATCAAAAATAGTAATACTCAATGGTATTATATTTTATTGAGAAAGCATAAAGCAGACAACAAATTTTCAACTTCGAGCTTCGGATTTTTGCATAGTTAATTTTGGTTTATTTGAAAAATCATTTAGCGGTTACTTATAAAGCAATACGGCTTTGATAATGGAAACTTAAAAAAAATTTAGGTTTGTTATAATGTTAAGAGAATTAAAATGCGATATTTTGTTTAACCACTTGGCGACTGCGACTTTATGTCATTCATGTCCCGTAATATGCAATTTATTATGAAAACATTGGAAATAAAACATAAAAATAGCTACGCGATGGAAACAGTCCCATACTTTTTTAGGTTTCTATTTGATGTATCAACAAGGCGAAAAAGCTGGCGAAGAACAGTAAATTGTATAATCTCTAGCAGTTTATTTAGCATTGCAACAAGATGAAATGTCATTCGAGGTAATATCTCGAGCCAAGAACTCGTATTTCACCTCAGTCGTAACCACGCGCGATAAAATTTCAACTGAAGCAAGTTCAAAAACATTTCGGGGCGGAGGAAATGAGTGAATAAACGAAAAATGCATATAATTGCTTGTATCAGATTGATATAATCTGGTTTTGAGAAAAATATTGTTGTCTCCTAAAAGGAAATTTGTGGTTGGAAATATACTTAGACTACGTCCTATTTTAGGTTTGCAAAAATTGTTATATCTACAGTAAAATGAATGAAAATTTGTATAAAAGATATCAGGAGTCATTCATCCATCTCTAATTTTTCTTCTGACACATACTACCTTGTTGGCATGCAGTAAGAAGGAAGTGAAATACATTATGTAATTACATTCTATTATGGGTATATATACTGTATATGAGTCCATCATCCAAGGTTAATATAAATAATGTTGACCTTAACGTCTTTTTCAATGACACCCTGCTATGCCTCCTACCTTTTTACATGCCGTTTTTTGAATTTATACTTCACTGTCATATCGTCGTCGAGTCCCAAGTATTAATTTAAGTGGCAATTCGATGGGCTGAAAACTTCTATGAGTCTACTTACTGCACATACACATTATTGATTGATTTTATTAAATTTATGATTCCAGTTCTTGAAACAATATGCGAGTAATTGAGTGAAATACAATGTTCTTTTTGAGCTTGTAATATTAAACGAACAAATATATATATATAAAATAAATTATATAATTTTTTTACATTTGGACTTCTATTTGTGTATGATTGTATCCAAAATTTAAGGAATCTAGGACGTTTTACACACAAGTTACGTTCTCTATCGAGTATGTTTAAAATGACCTCCTCGGTGTCGGTGACATATTTTTACTCCACCTTTCGCTGTTTATCTTACTAACGATTGCCAACTAAGATAAACTGAGAGTATAAACTCTTCAAGTGGCGGTTGCGTACCCACAATTTCTAACTGTAGAGCAGATCAGCATTTTTTATGGAATTAATTAAATAGAAGGAGTAAAGCTTTCGGCACGGTGGGATTTGCATGCAAACTTAGTAATCAGGTAATTGCGAACAAGCGGCGCACATGGATCATGTAATATTCAAGATGCGGTTTCGAAGTTTAGCCAAAAAAAGATAACACTTCCGGAATGTTAGTCCGGTGTTTCAAATATTTATTCACCGAATTTCGGCGTATAAATATACATGCTTGACAATATCATGTTCTGTACAGCAGTTTTTGACTTTATGTTAGCAGCAATATACCTCGTGACTTTTGTAATCCCATTATGCAAATACGCGTGTTTTCCAAGAAAATCCCATGAATATAGAAATATATTAATGCAACAAATCAATTATTAGATCAACAAGATTGAAGAAAGCATAATCCTGAACTCCTTATAAAATAACAATAAACCTGCGCATTGAAAGACATCTACGTGTGTACACGATTTACGCAAACATACATATATGCATAATTCATCTAATTATCATGCATGTAGTGCCGACTCCGCATCCGACGCGTAATTACACTTACAAAAATAATTAGAGTATTTGGCCAGCCGCACCGACCGTTACAAACATGCATGTTTCCGAAGTCATATGTACAATTTTAAAACATTTTTATAAAATAATAATTCCTCATACTTCCCGGAAATGTTATAACCATGAAAGCATATTTCAGAAAAATCATGGTTTGAAATGGTAACCAAAAACGGTTCCCAACATAGCGTCAACAGCATGTCGAAATGGACGGGGCAGAAAACTGTTTCTACATGCAGTTTACAAGGATCGGCGACACATTTAATAAAATTTACCATTTGTTTTTTGATGTATTTTGTGATTGTTAATCGGGTTGTTGTTTCATTGTAATCGACTTTATGCTATATGCACGTGCACCGCGTCAGTAAGATAGCGATACCCGCAAAGTGAACGTTTTCGCTAGCAGACGTAGTTTTTGTTGTAAATCGTATGGGATAGGTTTTGCAACGGGGCGATGACACTCGTCATTCAACAGTGTAATGCTTCCCGAGGTACGGTATAAATTGTAATGAACGTCCTGCATTGTCTAATAACACGCGATACCACGTTTGCTCAAAGATTCACATAAACGTTCGTTGCCCATTAAGATGAAATTGGCAAACCTCTGCAGGGCACATCTTGATATCTCAAACCGAGAATTTGTTTTGTACAGGCTGGGCCAACCTGTATATTCAAGATGAAAAATCACCGTTTTACGCCCTTCCAAACATAAAAAAGCTGACTTTCTCCCACGTACGAAAAAGAAGACGCACAACATCATGAATATTGCATAAAATGCAGACGTGAAACAACAGAGAACGAAAAAACGAAGAAGAAACGAAATGGTTATGTGCACGAATAAACAAGGTGAATGAAAAATTGAATGCTATTGAGAAGAGTACTGTAACTTTCCTGAATAATGGTAAGTAAGACTGCAGGTAAAATAGTCACAATGTAATGAAACCATATTGCACAGATTATAGACCACAAAGTGCGTCAGAAAAGCTATAAAGAAATGGTGGCTGATACGACATTCTTATTCATTTTGGAACAAGACTAACAATTTTCACAAGCAGCAATGACTATAACTGTATTAATTTATAAGGAGAAATAAAATTTAAGAATATTGTATATAAAATATACAAAAATTAAACATTTTCAGTTTTTGACAACATTATTTGAATGAACAAAAATTGACATGAACAAAAATTTAACCACTGAAGTGCATATCAAGAAGTATTAACAATGGTATAGAGCAAAAATGTTCATTTCCAAACTTCTGGACGCGTTCTAGAATGATGTCTGCCTAGTAATAAATCGATATATATGTGTGTGAAACAAAATTCTATAAAAATCTTGGAATGACGATTGACTAAAAAAAATAAGGGATAATAAATATTTCAACCATTTACAGAAATTTTTGTAAAGTTTTAAGGTAATTAAAATAGTTATAGTATTGTATTATTATCAATAAAATATATAACCATAGATAGCATACATAACTAAACCTGATTTTCAAATCTTCACAAAGATACACAATGCATGTACCATAAGAGTCAACACTAACAACAAATTTGAAATAAGTCATCTAGCTAATCAAAGATTCTTGCCGAAATTATCTTGTCTGAATTAAGTATTTTCAGAAAGCATAATCTACTCAATTTAATACAACTGGAATAGAGTCATGGGCAAAAGATCGGTACAATACTAACAAAACCCAGAAATTTTCAACTGGAATAATGTCGTCAATATCAATGAAGAGAAAAGGTCCTGATCAGTACATCATTGTGTTCTGAAAAAATATGAATCTTTTAATATAAAGCACACTGTTTAATCAAATGCAGAATCTCTTATCGCTTTTAAAGACAAGCATTCATCAATATGAGAGTTAATTGTACTGATTGGAACTTCATTGCAACAAATAGGACAAGGAGCTGTATCGATTACAGGCTCAGAGCTAAATACCAAATGAGGATTAATATTTTCAGTACCACATGGATTGTCATCTATTTTCAACTTTTTATTGGCAGGTTTTTTCAGCATGTTTCCTACCATAGTCTCACTGTCATCACTCTCACTCAAAGATGGGAGCCGTTTTGAGAGACTTCCACTTTTTATCCTTGTAACAGCATCGTTTTTTAAAGTTGACGCTTCTGCAACATCTCCTTGTGAATCATCATTGCTACCGAAAACCTGACTGAACGAAAATTCTATTTCAGGTAAGTCATCATCATCATCGTCAGAAATGATAGCGATTTTTGAACGTAATAAAGCAGATGTCGATCCATCTTGTCTCTTACTTCTATTCAGAACATCTGTAAGAGAACATTCTTCATCGCTGTCACTGTCGAATGAAGGAAGATGAACCTTATTTTTGTTTTTATGACTCGTTTTTAAAATGTCATTATTTTCTACATCCGTAGATTCTTTTTTAACAAATACGATATTTTTTTTATCGTCTTCAACTCCGATGGTGTTTGCACGTTTCACAGGGTGAATTTTTACATTAATATTCTCTTTATCAGACTGTGAATTCTCACGTTCTTCTTGGCTATCATGAAAATGGATAGCCCGTTTGCTGTAACTTGTCAGTGCCGGAGTGCAAACAAAAGCTGGAGCACCCGCATTAACAGACTTTTTTCCTTTTCGCTTCATTCTCTCTAGCAATTCGGGTATTGTTATTTCATCCTTTGCTTTCTTTTTTGGAACCACACGATTGTTAACAATGTTTTTTCGTTTCCCTGAAAGTAAGTTTCCCCATCTATCTTCCAAACTGGGTTGCTTTTTATCCGTTGTTGGACTCTCCAGCAAATTAATATTAGAATTTAATTTGGTATTATTATTATCCTTATTGTCAAATTTAGAAAGTAATCTACTGTGTGCTGGTATCCCACGACCACTATTATCTTTTTGATAAATTTGGCCTCCCAAGCGATTGCCAGTTTTAGAAGATTCACCAGTATCGTTAGATCTTGACTGCACTACAGGATTTGTTTGTTCAACAGAGTCTCGTAGTTCTTTACCTTTCTTAGTTTGTTGTGACAAAAACGGTGTGATTTCCATAACTCCTAAAAAGACATCCGAGTGTTTATAAAGTAAATTAAATGAACAGTCTGAACAAAAGTATATAAAAAGACCAAGCAATAAGAGTGTGGTTGTTACATGATCGTAAGACGGTACACGAAGTTGAACCGGCACATTATTTCCATTCCAACAAAAAACTAGTAACACAAAGAGCATGCAAACCTTGCCTTACCAAAAGCATTTTTTTCTCTGGGATAAATACAATGACTTGATCTGATAATCAATGAAGAGTCATTTTATCAATTATATTCTATGCACTTCTTTGCAAATTATCACAACTTTCATAGGAAATACTCTACTAGAACAAAAATTTCTTACAGTGCAAAGTGCCATTACTATACCGAAAAATGTCATCATTTTTTTCAGTAATTCGAAATAGCTTTAATTAGAAGTTGTTATATTTATTACACAACCTTTTCATCGCAGTTGAAATAATTCAAGAAGTTCTATCTTTTCAATCAATCCTAAATTTTGAAATTCAATTCACCTTTTTCTTTGGGTTTCTCCTTTTTGTCTTTTTTCTTCCCAAAATTTTCAGGTTCTTTCACCTTGATATATGTTCCTCCACACGTCATTTGATGTCTTGGCCACCAAGTATCTCTTTCAGAAAAATAGGTATCAAAGTATATGTTGTAGAGATTCAATATATTAAAAAATGAATTGCTGATTTCATTTTGGTTATTCATTAGCATATGAATAGCTGTGCAGAAAAAAGTATAACACAGAAATCACATAACCCCAACATGGGGTATTCTACATTGAATCATTATCTGTAATTGCTTTAATCCAAAATGAACCAGTTGATACGATTTATTATTTGTTTATCATCTGAATTTTTTGTTATTTTATTACATAATGTTTATTCACGCCACTTACCCCGAACGAGAGACTATAAAAATAGCCACTGATATGTAACTTCAAACATATAAAAGGGGCTACTATCATTACAGTCTTACACTTTGACCGTTAGGTCATTGTAAATAAGTATGGTTTTTAGTGGGTTTAGTCGGCAGTGGCAATTTAGAGATGATTCTCTATAAGCAAGCAGTTGTTGAAATGAATATGATCCAGCAAACTAACCTTGGTGATGGAGCTCTATTCATTGAACGTTTGACAAAACCAAAATAGGGTGGTTTCGTACGACATGATCCTTGGCATCTCCACCAATGCTGACGCAATTGATCAACTTCATCGTGAAAATTATGATAAATCTGTGAAAAAAAAAGAGAAACTTTGAAATAGACATAGCAGCAATGAAGTTCAAAATGAATTATAGTAATTGCTAAATTTTTTACTTTTGTTTGTAATATATAATTATGTAATTGAAGAAACTACTGAAATTAAAATGTTCACAAGATTGTTAAAATTGGATATAAATTTGGTGTGTTTTTTGACAAATAGCACTTACAATTTTAATTAAATTTGGTAGGCAATTGAAACAATTGTAAAAGGTGGTATTGAAAATAAAAAATACCAAAACCCTGCAGTATCATCCCAAGCTTATTTACAAGTCTATTAACATAGTTGATGAGAAACATGAAATGAAAATTATATGTACTTTTCAAGATCATAAACCATACAAAAACCGTCAAACAAAAAATTCAGGTTCTTTCCAATGATACTCACTGTTATATTTGTACCAGTTTCTTTGTTAATTCTGTACATATGTTTACAAAATTCCGGCCCATGTCCATCGTGATCTTTGTTATTATCAGTGACAAACAGCAATGCATGTATCATTTCATGCTAAAATAAATGAAGTGTTTCAGTCCTACCATGTGAGAAACTAAACAAGCAGCTACTCGTGTTATGTGGCCACTTGGATTGAAAACATGAAAAATTTATGCCAAGCTAGTTGTGTCAATTTCCGAATAAGCCTTGGCAGGAAGATACATTATTTTAATTCATGTGAACAAATCTCTGTCAACATCGGGAACCTTCAACTGAATAACAAAATAATTTTCTCTCTCATATGGTAACATATATGTAATACTTGATTCAAATGAATACAGAATGAAATTTATATCTCAGGGGAGAAAAATGCGGCTCAATTATATGATACACCATGGCCTCTCGCCTGATTATGTGAACCACCCTACGACGGAGTTCTGCAATCCTTTTACACATAATTTTAACATTTCCAACTTTCTAAGAAAATGGATAAGAACGAGTCTCACCAATAAAGTTTCAACAAGATCTTTTCTTGGTCTGAGTTGAAGTAACGGTTTACTCAACCTGATAGAACATAGACCTCCTCTACCTTCGTAACAACACAACCCAGCACATCTAAAATTTCAACACATTAACTTAAAAACAGTTTCAAACAAATTGTTTATTCGGGCATGATCCCATTTCAGTTTGTAGCTTGGGAGTATGAGATATTGATGAATCCTTGGAATTAATCCAACAGATATATTTTGCCAAATCCCCGAAAAAATATTAATATAGTATACTAATTACGTTCTTGCTTTAGTTAATAATTTTTGATATTTGTCTAACAATAGTCATGGAGAATTGTGTTTTCCATTGCTAATTAAAACTACTAACAGGTTGATAAAAGAACATTTGAGAAAACTTACAATGTCATTCTCGGACTCCATCGAACTTCAACCATGCTTAATTTACTCCAGAAATACATGGCATTAAATTCTTGAAACATCACACGGACATCAGGGCTTGGATCAAGAAGTTCCCATGAAGGATCAACAATTGATTTTGGCTTTTCCTTGCCATCATGAAACTTTTTCGATTGAAGAACATTGTTGTTTATCATTTGTGTATCATACTGATCATATTCATCACCAGGATTGGCATATTCTTTATCATATTCTTCCTGTAGCGCTAATGCTAGAGCTCTATCGGCCTCTTCCATAGCTGGTGAAACACTTTCAGACTTCAGAGTCAATTAAATTATTCTAACTATCAGGTATGGAAAAATAAATGAAAAGTCAATGTACGTTACCCTATTATCGCCACTTTTTATTACAATCCATCCAAAGTCTATCTACTTCTGGTAATAATTTCTCTATATTGTCTCAGAACATTAGCTACCGATCGGAGGAAAAAATGCCAACAGCAGCGAGTCGCGAAATGAATTTGCTATAGCGACACCTCACGAATATAGTGGAAATGTGGGTATGGCGATAATAGGAACTACGATTATCCTATTATTGCCACTTATGTCAAACTTTTTTTCAATAGCTTTTCTCTAATACATATTCATTTGCTCTGAAATTTTCAATGATTAAAGAGTGTTGCTGCTGCTAGAAGGTTATTTCTTTTATTTATTTCAAACATTTATGTGGGCCCTACGAGATTAGTTTTTCACTTCAAAGTTATATATGATGATGTCATCAAAATTAAAAATTGCGCATCGTAGCATGGTGGTTCTGCGATCACATTTAGGCGATCTGGCGGTCAGCGAAATCGGGAGTTTTTTTTATTAAATGAGACTACCGTTACTGTTAAAGATTTGATAACACTTCTTTTTAGTGTTTGTCCATTATTGAGCATTGCTGTTTTGTTTTTTCACAATTTTTCCGGTTCTCCTTTTTGGCGAGCCAAAATTTTTTATCCTATTATCGCCATTCTGCGGATACAATAATTAACAACAGCACGATATTTACAAACACTTCCCATTTCAAACTTGATTCAACGTCGATCTAACACTGACTGACAAAAACTAAAATAAATAAACACTGTCGCGCCATTTTGGGCTGCTAATTAGTAATTACCGCCCTCCCAAAAAGTTGGCCGAGCGTGATATCAGCTGATTTTTACATTTTACAAAAATGTATGTTTTTATTGAAATGTCTTTACGCCACCGAGTGACAGAATATGTTTAATATTTATTACTTATGACGTCGCAATCCGGAAAAACTCATATTCAGCGCTATCTGAAAGTGCGACTGCAGCAGGGCGATTCTAAAGACGTGTGGCGAAAATTGGCGAGTGGCGATAATAGGGTAACGTACGTTACATAATCTAGTTTTTCTTTTATTCACTACATGTACTAAGTAATTCAGCATTATTTCTGGAGTATGTATGAATTCATTTAATACAGTAATACAATTTTACTTTTAGGTAACAGACATACATACAGACATACCAGTATACAGACCACTTCTTTGGCAACACCTTTCAATTTAAATTCTGTACATTTTGAAACTCACTCAGGGCTGCAGGGTTTTGTTTGCTAGCCTGATTCTGTAATCAGTTTATTCATTTGTTCTCGTCAATTATTTTGTTGTTGAAATATTTTTGAAGTTACAAAACAAGTTCAGGAAATCAGAAGCATGCTAGGTAACATAGTAAGGTCTAGGAATGGTGATATGGACCCGTTTGAATGACCCCCTTGTACAGTTGTAGATGACACAGTTACCGGTACGGTACATATTGGGCTCCCATTTGACATGTTTGATTTTGCAGGCAGCTACACAGTACGGTACATGCGCTGCCAATAAAGTGCAATGTTCATGTAAAAAGATTGTTCTTTTATTTTTATGTTTTATGTTATATATTTATGTTTTAAAAGTCTCTGACATAAGTGAAAAATGATAACCCTGATGCTATTGCTGTTAAAAGAAAAAATCTCAGCACAATGGTTAACTCAAGTTGTGGAAATAAACTTGGTACTACTGGTAGAATGGCCAAATCTTTTCTAGCTTTGTTACTTACCGACTTAGTCGTCTACACGCAATCACAAGGTACAAATATCTCATTTTTTTTTTTTTTTTACAAAACAGTCGCATAAAAAAACCGCTGGCATTTCTGCATTTACATAACTTATCGTCAAGGGGAATCCCCGCAACAGAACCGCATGTTAGCGATAGAGAGACAACGAAATTTTAATTTTTTTCATTTATTAGCCCGGAAAGACAACATGCGGTACAATCGTAAATATATACTACTACGTACAATACACGTACATATATAAAGATAAAAAAAAAAAAACTTTTCCACAGGCCGTGAGGCAGTTGGCCGTGAGACGAGGAAATGAGTTTCGTAGCGCACATAAGGGAACTACCTGGAAATAATTCTAAAATGTTCGTCAGAAATTCAGTAACAAATAATACCTTGTTTCCGTTTCCAAAAGTTGCACGTTTTACGAAAAGGACGCTTTCACTACCAAAAATATGTGCTACGATCGATCCTATATTCTCTACTTTTCCGGCAACATTGACCAATGAACGCAGACTTCTGTATGACGTAACAATTAAATTTGATCAGCTGTAAGCAGGCGGGTGAATTTCAGTTATTACTGCTCGATCTTGCGTTCTTTTCCATCGCCCTTCTTATTTAATATTATTATTAGTTAAGTTATGCTAAGACGTTGTTAAAAGGTGTAACAAATTTTTGATTCAGGCTGTTGAAGGACGCTAGATGTTTCCAGTCACTTCTTTCGTGTTTCCTTACTGGCCTTTTCTGCTGCCTTGGTTTGTTTCATATTCCTCTAACATGGATATAGGCCGTGAGAAGAGGCCTTGAAAATGAAAAACATTGCCGTTTTCTTTTGTAGTACAGTATCTAAAATTAGAAAGAAAATCAGATTTGGAACAGCTTGAGTGTAAAAATACCACTAAATACTGACTAATACTTCTCATATATACATTATGAATTTTATCTGATGTACTCAATGAGCGTATATATGCTCATTGGATGTACTTCAGTCCTGCAGTGTTTGCATACTAGATATATCTACTCTGGATTTCGATATATCACAGTCTGAAATGCCTATAGACTATATTTTAAAACACCAACTGTCCGTCTACAACTTGATTTCTCACCTCTCAGACAGATACAGATATTTATTTTTTGTCTTGCAAAAACATCGTACATTTAAACAAATGGTAAAAATTAAATAAATTCATTGAAAGAAAAAGGTACAATATTTGAACTGCAATAGACGAGGGATCGCGAAAAGACAATCAAAGGTCCTCATGTCAGCGACACCATTATAGAGGCAGATTAAGTCAAACAATACAGAAGTAAACCAGCAAAAATAATTAAAACAATTTGGGAACTAAAATGTACGTGAGAACGGAAGATTCAATAAATAGAGTATTGACGAACTGCTAAATCAACTCAACTTCATGCTCCCACAACAAGGAAATTGCTGCCGTACGTGACAACTTTTGGAAATGGCATTATTTGTTACTAAATTTCTGAGGAACATTTCAAAATCATTTTCAGGTAGTTCCCCTATGTGCGCTACGAAACGAAATATAAACGACCTCGTCTCGCGGCCTAGCAGTAACTGACTGGGTAACGATACCACCATTTGGTGTCATTAAAGTCTTCGTATTTTCATACGAAGCCAAATATTCTGGCGGCATAGTGGCATATGCGGCCCATATTAAGGTACTTACTTTGATTTTTACAGCAAGCACATGAAATTAAGTACCAATGACAATTTCAACAAGGTGAATTTGACACCCCGTGTACCAAATAAATGTCTCATTCAGTATATTTAACGCCACATGGACAATGAATGGTCATATCCTACAAAAAAGGTCACTGGGTTTACCGTGTTTCCTGGAAAATAAGACTTACCCTGAGAATAGGAACTAGCCTCAATTTTGAAAAATGATTTGAATATAAGCGCTCCCCGGACCTAGTCAAAAACGCGAATTTTTTTTTGACCTGTTAAATAGCAAGAAATCTCTCCTACACGTTTTAAATGATTAATGATCTATGTTTTGCAGTTATTTTGAATAAAAACGTGTTATTAAGTAAATAGATATCGGTTTTCATATTTTGTATATTTTAAAATCTCGTCATTAATTTTCTACTTTGTAATTTTGTTTTTGATAAATGAAAATATAAGACATCCCCCAAAAATAAGCCCTAGTGTTATTTTGCGGGTGAAACTGAAATAGGTCCCAGTCTTATTTTCAGGGAAACACGGTATTAAAGTTGAAAAATCATTAAGCATAATAACAACTCGAACTTAAAAGTTAAACCCGAGATCTTTAACCTGTGACTCAAATATATACTGAAGTCCTTTGCTCCAGTTATTTGTTTGTCGAATTTATGCTTGCTTATCTTTTCATAATTGAATAAAAGTGTTGAATGCTCCTATATAGTCATCCAACAAACTGTGAACCCTGTGCATAACAGTGAATATGGGGGGAGTGGACTCGGATGACCGTGTGGTCGATCGCTCCCTGGAAAACTCGCTTACATTGAAAGCTCATTCGGTTTTCTTGTGTCGATAGAATTCGTCTTCGCTGGTTTTAGCAATGACATTAAACAACATGATAGGCAACTCTGACGTCACTCCATAAGACTACAGGCAAAACATTGTATTTCATGATACGCTCCAATGCACATATTTCTCGTCGCCTTTCGCGTCCGTTTTCCGCTCGCTTTTGCTACTCGGCGTCTTTTTTACGTGTAGTACCTGCCTTTTTGCGCCTGTAACGAAACAAAATAATCTCTATATCTAAGAAGTTTTGCTTACTTGGAAAGCTGGAATAACAGGCAAGCTGTAAAGAGCAATTCTGGACATCATAGACGTTTTTTTTTTATCAGAGAAGATTACAAACGCGATAGCGGAAAGATTTGTGTGGAACATTTTGCAGATAATGACAAAGTTAGTAATTTTAATGTTTGCGCTTAATCATTGAAATTTCATTTAAAGAGGGTGTCATACAAAACTGTGCTGCGATACAATTCCATAACACAAAGTTTGCACCTATCGAACTTGCTTTTGTAGGTGAATTTATTAGACGTATTACATATTCAGTTAATCGTAGGTAACATTGCTGGTACATAATGCATCGTAGATAGGTTTGTTTAAATTTAGGAATTTAGCTCATAGCCCACTAATTAATATTATCTTCTATGCAGGAGGTTGCAGGGCTGAATTCAACTTGCAGCCTTACCGATCACCTGACGATGCTCATTTAGTTTGGCTCGAGCAAGTCTTCTTGAAATGCTTGTGTGGATGGAAACTACCTATATTTTTTGCCCTCCTCCGATTTTAGACAAATTTATTCTGAGGGATTTCGCATATAATTCTCACTGATTGTTGGCTGTTTATAATTCCTATTGATTGTGAATTCTGATTATAACAATGAGTTGAAAATTTTTTTACCTAATTTACTAGCACCTTTTTCTTGTCAATACTCCAAGCTGAGGTAATAAACATGACAATACATTTATGTCATCTGGAAGCAAAATATGCACACTAATTAATAGTTTGGCACATTGAGATAATACATCATGACAGAAAATACAAGTTAAAGATATGTATGACCATCACATGGTAATTAAAATTAAAAAAAATTAATAGGGGCTGTGGAGTATGGAAAGTTCAAGACAAAGAAAAGAACAAATGTTCATAGCTCATGAACTCTCAATTTTGCCTCCATTGCTTTGTGAAGGCCAATATATTTCGAGTGGCTGAATTGGTTTACCTTTATGATAGCAACGATTTTGTATTTAATATAGCGAGATTATTTCAATTTAATTGAAGTGATATAATTTCCCAAAGCAATGCTTGAATCGTCTAGAATAGATCAGTGGTGTCAAACTCATGGGTTTCGAGAGCCGCATTGCATTTTGAAAATTGTAAAAAGATCCGCAAACAGTTTTTGATAATGTATACTTAAAAGATATTTTTAAGATAGTTTTAGTTTGTGACATATATTGTGATGCAACTAAACAGTTGGATTAAGTTTTATTATTTTCTTCAATTTTAAATGCAATTACATATTAATATTTGCATTCCACCATTATTGCAACATTTGCAAGTTACAGTATTTATTATAAAAAATCGTAAAATTCTATGTACAACCATCAAAATCATTTTTGAACAAGCTTTGAATAAGGAAAGAATAATACACTAAAAATAACTTAATCTAAATATATGAACCCAAAATTAACAAAAATACTACAGTATAAACTCAATGTTTTAATAAATACATTTGTCCTGGCGTTTGGCATCTTTTTTGTGTCACCAGCATACTAAGGCCAGTCTGAAATGATTTTATAGTACCAACTCTAACTAACGAGGCCACATGATCATGGGTTTATCTGGATCTTTACGAATGTTTAAATAATTCCAGTAATGCAAAAAAGTTACTTTTATCATTTCATGTATAGATCAGTAAAAAAACAAATGACAGATTTTTTCGACAAGACATTTCGCACTACATTGCGTGGCATAGGATTGCTTGAATTATTATTGATATTGATTTTTAGTAACTAAGTCGTTGTATAATTATATTAATATACAAACACATGGAAATTTTCTGTTCGAAGTTGGTCTTCGAATTTGTCATATTGACTGCTGAGCTTATTGTGTTTTTTGATTGTATTGATGGAAATATGACAAATTAAACAATGTGCTTCAGAATTTTGTGAAGAGCAGAAATGTTACAACTCCCCATTTTCTTCGAAAATGCCACCTTCTTCATGTACTTTGCGTTTAATTTAATTACTCAAGTGTTTTATTCAAGTATTCTTTTGCTAGCTTGATGTGTATTCTTAATTGGGTCAAAATGTGGACAAAAAAAATTAATATTCCAAAACTACTTTCAGTAAATTGTTTTCTGTGTGAATAATCAATTTCACTTTAGAAGGTTTGAAAAATCTATTACATTTAGATAAAAAAAAAAACTTCCAAAATACTATTACAATTATTGTTAAGCGTTCGAAGGCCGCACTGGAAGTTCTCTGGGGCCGCGAGTTTGAAATCCCTGGTCTAGATTGAAGTTGTTCAAAAAATACATGATAGTATTTTATCATGAATGATGATTATACCCCTTCCGGAATTTCTTCTATAGTACTACCAAAAGTTGATGAACCAAATATAACACAGGTGCAGTGAGGTACCCGTAATCCTCATTTCCAAAGCTGTTTTAAGTATGTCTGGCGTGTTTTGTGCCTTTTTACAAATAAGACCGCTTATGCAATCTTACGCTTTGGAATTTTTAGTTATTTTCCTCAAGCCCTGCAGGATGTGGGGGCCATACACAACTCTACCGGAGGGTCAAATGTCTTTGCATGCCTCCATAGGTTGTTTTTCCATTGCAAATTTCTATTTTCAATTGCATTATATTTCTTGGAATCACACTGTCACTGATATGTCGCCAGACTTCTGATATCTCCCCGTCTGCTATAGTTGTCCTGTGAATAAATAATAGGAAATTGAGATTAGACGAATAGTTGAAAGTTTAGCTTTATGTCGGCTTAATTTCTTGATTGATATACTTACTATTTCTGCTATTGCCTCTTGTGCTGCAAGAGTCTCACAATGCTTAGACAGGTTTGTCCACAACTTTCACATCTGAAGAAAGAGAGGAGATTTATTAATTTTCGTTAAGAATAAATAAAGCAGTCTATATGATTCAGAATGGAAAAGCTAATAAATCCAATATCTCATGTTTTATTTAAAAAATATTTTACTGAATTTGGTATATAAACCAACTAATAAAAGGGTTTAGTCAGAAAATTACAAGCATTCGTGGCTCCAAATACTTGAGAAATCAGACTATACAATATAGACCGGTATGAGTGAAATGTTAGGTGAACTTGTTAACACTTTGATTCAATACGCAAATAAAAGTGAATGCGTAATAGTATGTTACAATGAGCAGCAATCAACAATGAGTATATATCCTCACTGATTAAAAAAATCTAACTGGAGGTGCATGAACTATTTGAAATCATAAGGGGTAAGTAAATATGTAATTTCGGCAAATGAGCAACTACGTACCGTACTGAATTAATAACTTCGTAGTATTTGACAAAGGCTGACTTTCCCACATGTACTTAACAGTGCGATGCCCGGGTGTGATATACAACAATAGTATTCACCTTACCTTTTACCGATTTCTTTTTACCCCAACTTTCAAAAATATCATTAAAATCGACAACAACTGTCAAAGCAGGCACGAACACCATTCGTGCTACGCCTTGAAAGCAGCACACATCCGCTCGTTTTCGTCTCGTCAAGTATGTGCATTAGAGCGTGGTATCGAATACGATCTTCGGACAAAAATGCCGGAGTTGCGCATCATGTTGTTTAATGTCATTGGTTTTAGTAATGGAATTGTATATAATTGTCCAAAATGGGCGTAAAAGTCGATGAATTGCCTGAATTAGGGTTTTGAATTTATTTCATCAAAACAAATATCGATATCGCGACTAAAATAATGATGAGTCGAAATTCTGGGATCAGAAACGAAGTATTAGGACGCAGCTCTAGTCTAGACGCATATCCCAGTACTACAATATCACCACCAGATAGTAAACAAAAAAAAACACACAGTAAAACTATCACGAAATCATATCACAATGTGAATACAATTTTGCAGATAAAATACCCGAGTGGCGGTCATTGTGAAAACCAAACGTTCAGGTTCGTACAAAAGACAATTGTAGCGAATTCACGAATAGTATACTCGCCGAGCCCGTAAAAATCTCAAGAGACTCTGTGCCGTGCAAAGACGCACAATAGTTTCGATATTGTAATAAGGCAAGTAAAGAACTTTAGGTATACTGTCTTACACTAGTTTTGTTTGCTGTCAACGGCAGGTATGGAAGGACGACTGAGAGGTATGGTTGCTATTTCGGGACCAGATTGGAAAACCCGTGGTTGGGATTTTCACCATCTAATTCCGGGATTAATAAAATGAAACACACACACACACACACAAAATATTATGAGCAGTCATGTTTATTTTTTTTAAAACCGACGCAAAAACAGTGAGCAAGAAACCCAAGAGCCGAAAATGCACGCCCAGCCTCAACTGACGTATAGGTTTGATTGTTTTTAGTGCGTCATGCAACTTTCCCGTTTTTAGCCTCTCCCTGCTTGTCTCATATAGCAGCATTTCTTTCTCAACCACCCTTCGATATTCATGAGCACGCCCTTGTTCATCTTCGCGACCGCCCCTTCCCCCCTCCCCGACTTTCGATTTTTTTCAAAATAGTGCAACCATTATGCAACTTGCTGCTATATATCTGCTCAAGAATAGGTCCACCGAAAGGAAAAATCCGTTTAAAATGCGAATATTATACTTCCAAGTAGTCCTAAATACTTCATAATTGGGCAGACTGCACCTCGCATGGGTCAAATACGTGGTTATGACGTCATAAAAGCCACCCACACAAAAAAAATGGCGCGCTCATCAACCCCCGGGAGGCCGTATTGAATAAAAATAAATGCAATGTGGCCGCCAATAGCAAAAAGGTTTTGCACCCCTGGTAAAAGACAATCTTTGAAGAATGTTTTTCGCCAAGTCAACAATTTTTTGACGGGATAGTAAGACTACTCAGAAGATGATCAAGTTCAGCTGTGGTGTTGGCAGTCACGCGATAGCAGTGCGCGTGCCCGGCGCATTAAGATGACATGCACTAGATAAAAATGAAACATGAGCAGCTGATGTTTTTCATATTTTGACTAAATATATATAAAAAATAAGGTAAGATATCGATTTAATTAATTCAAAACTCAGAGATATATGTCACAGTGCCGTTTATTAAAATCTGTCTAAGTTGCCAACACTGGGTACGACTGTGCACAGTGGTTGGATTTGCTCGCATTGGTTCGGTACCACTGCTGTGTTACAATAGACGTCATGAAACTAAACTCATAAAAAATCTCATGCTAATCAAATTCCAATAATTCGACTAGCTGATTTTTATTGTTTCAGGTGGAATGTGTTGAAAAACATAACGTCAAAAGTAGAATATACTGTATTACCCAATATATATCAATGTTAGGAAGGGGATCATTGTTTCGCTTTTGGCAGGAGCGTACATAGAGCGATATGGTTGTGAGTCGCCATGACAAAAATTTCAAACGACCTTTACTAATATGTACTTTGGGCAAGAACCAGAAATCGTCCCAAACAGTTTTAAGTGATACTATGATTTATTAACTTAACGTATACCTAAGCTATTACCCATACGTAGAGACGAAATCCATTACCCATTAAAGACGAGACTCTGATTTTGTAGGATAGTCAGCGGTTCCCAAACTTTTCGTTCGTGCGGCACCAAATTATCACGGAAAAAAACTCACCGCGTACTTACATGAAAAAATGCTTCTTTTCAAATAAAACACAATTTTGTTATCGCTCATATGTACTTTATGCATTACAAAACTTGTAAACATTGTATGTTCGCTAAACTCGGTTCAGCAGAAATATAAACTTCAGCTCTGAAAATTGCATCAAGTAGTGTCTACCTCTTGTTGCGAAACGATCGGAGCAGACACTACGTAACAGAAAGTAAACGACATAGAAAGGTAAATTGAAATTATTGATACATATACGCCGCATTTATAATAAAAAACACTAAAACTTTTATAATAAATGCAATATGTAAATTATTCAATCATATTTAGGTTATGTTCAACGGTTGAACACAATTCTGTTAATTTTCGCGGCGCACCGCTGGGATAGATAAATGTGTCGGTGTCAAGATACGTTAAGATTGGTGAATAAGTTGTGATGGTATAAGCATGAATAGTACGGCATTCCAAAAGCATTAACCCTGCTAAAACGCTTAAAAACTGTGAAAAACCGTCTTAAAAACACCAATAACCCTGCTAAAACGCTTAATATCGATCAGTTCTGGTCTGTTCGTATAATTTTAAAACTTTATAAATATACCGTATTCTTTATGATGTCATTATATATATTCAAAGGGTGAAACGTTTAGCAATACTGTGCTGCGCGTAACAAACGAAGGTGGAGGGCTGTGGAATTTCTTCGATTTTCTTCTTTCTTTGTCATGTAAAACAAGCAGCCCTGCCCATATTCAGTCCTAGCACGAATTTCACAGTCACTTGTACGTGATAAATTAATTAACTTAATTACAGCCTGCATTCAGTCTTGGCGTGGTTTGGCATTACAGGAAATCGGTCGAGTAATAATGCGTGACTTATCGAACATCACATTTTCTCACTGTGACATAATGAAATTTTAATTTGTTCTACTTGTGTTAGGTACGCTCCAGAAATTCAACATAGCAGCGGCAATGGCTTGTCTAGATGAGCATTGCACGTTGTGATCGATCGACGCACCGTACTTTGTACTGTATTATAGTGAGGCTACCCGCGAAGCAGTATTTGTTGTTGGCAAGTTCTTAGAATTATCACGTTCATTTCTCAATAAAACGTCGGCAGAGAGGTCTATTGATCATCAGAAAAGTGTAAGGTGGGTTATATAGCATTGAAACGCATCACCACCTCCTTCTTCGTTAAGCTTTAGACAGATGCAGACGACAGCTTCAGACAGACTGTCGCAGAAAAATACAGTCGTAGGTCCAGGGTAATTTTCCGTCGAACAAGTAATTACTTCCTAGATACAAAAGATGGTTGGAATGTTTTGAACGCCCGAATGATTTTCACGTGTCCGCTCGTTTAATCCATTTTAATTCTGGACTGTGATGGTATGCGGTAGCAATATGAGAGACCATTTTAGAGGGCGGGTTTGTTTTATACGAGATGCGTGCTCAAACTTGACTCACAATCTCGTCGCAGATCGAATTATTTGCTACCGAGCTTCACGTCACGGAGTTGAATCGCATGCCTGTTTCCGTTTCAGTGGAACTATGTAACTGTAGATGGAGCAGCTTGCGTAATAAAATTAGGTTAGTACATTGGATTTCAAAACAGGCCCGGTGGAAGGTATAGGTGTGTGGTTGATATGTCGTTCACCGTATGACATTTTCATTGGGAATAGGTAATTAAGTTTGAATGAAGTTTTTGAATTTGTCAATAATAATTATCGCCCGCGATGCGACATATGATTAATTTAAATGTGAAATACAAGGCGTTTAGAAGGGTATTTTTTGTGTATAAAATTGCCGCAGTGTTGCAATAATGAATGCGAAATATTTAGGGTAAATATATTTCACATTCGGCGAATATAAACATATTTCGTTGATAGCCAATGTAGTGCGAAATATCGATATATATACCTTTTTGAATTAGAAACTCGAATCACAAACGTGGAAACAATGAAAAAACATAAATCAACGTTTTACTTTTAAATTACTAATATTTAATTTTATTAGTTTATATATACTTCCATTATAGAATTTAATATAAAACCTTAATAAGATTGCTTCATACAATGTCAGAGCAACAAGTCGAAGAAACCGTACAAGTCAATGATACGCCCGTTGATCCACCTGCAGAAATGGAAGCGCCAAATCAGATCAAGGAATTCAAAAAACCACTGAATGGACGGGAAGTTCTCAAGACTCCACCTCTCAGCGAAATGTTAAAACAACAGAGCGTGCCCGTGAAAGGCCGGGAACATGTTCGACGTAGTCCCAGAGTTGATGACGGCGTATTTTTTGGGACGACCTTTGACGGCGTTTACACGGTACATGATATGTTTATGCATGGCTATAAAATCAACCACGATGCTCAATGTGCTGGCTGGAGACCGAAACCTGACGAACCATACAAGTGGGTAACCTATCAACAGGTATACGAAAAGATTTGTAAAATAGGATCAGGCCTCATCGAAAAAGGAGCGCAGACAAATCAAGATCAATTCATAGGAATTTATGCTAAAAATAGCTTGGAATGGCTGGTAATTGACCGTGTTTGTGCTGCTTATTCAATGGTTTCGGTGCCACTTTATGATACATTGGGACCAGAATCGATGACTCACATTGTGAACCAATGTGAGCTCGGAATTATTATTGTTGACACCAACGAGAGGACAATGAAGTTGCTCGCAGATGCCAAGTCAGGAAAAACCAACACTCTCAAGCTCCTTGTAGTCGTCGAGACCCCCACGGAAGATACTAAAGCATTATGCAAAGAGCTATCTATTGGGTTAATTTCGTGGGATGAGCTTGAAGAAGAAGGTAAGGCATGTGGTTTGAAAGAATTTGTACCTCCTAAGTCAGATGACCTTTTCACAGTCTGTTACACAAGTGGAACAACCGGAGCTCCAAAAGGTGTCATGCACACCAACCTCAATGTCGTGGCTCTTGCTTGTGCATTTCTTGCCAGTAGCTCAGACTACTTTTATGGTCTATCACCTTCAGATGTTTTATTTTCCTATCTTCCATTGGCGCACGTTTTCGAGAGGTATATAGAATGTGGGGTATTGATGCACGGTGGAAGCATCGGTTTCTATCAAGGTAATCCAAAGTTACTAATGGATGATGCTGCAACTTTGAAACCAACTATCTTTCCTATGGTTCCCAGACTTGTAAACAGAATTTATGGAAAAATCATGACAGCTGTGGGCAACTCTGGAATGAAAAAGGCCGTATTCGACTTCTGTCTCAATCGTAAGATGTCCGCTTTGAAAAAGGGAAACGTTTCGGACGACACAATCTGGGATAAATTAGTTTTTCATAAATTTCAGGCAGTGCTTGGTGGAAGGGTAAAGTTGAGCATCTGCGCCGCAGCACCAATATCTGCCAAAGTACTGAACGTTGTTCGCTGTGTTATGGGCATTCCAATCGTGGAGGGATATGGCCAAACTGAAACTACCTCCGGTTTCGTGATTACCCTCTACAAAGATTATGAGGGTGGAAATGTGGGCTCAGTCCTACCAAACATGGAAATAAAGCTTGTCGATGTGCCAGAAAAAGAATATTATGCAAAAGATAACAAGGGAGAAATTTGCTGTAAAGGCTTATGTGCATTTAAAGGCTATTACAAAAACGAAGAGAAGACTAAAGAAACCATTGACGAAGATGGATGGGTTCACACAGGAGATATTGGAGAATGGTTACCAAACGGTGCGTTGAAGATAATTGATCGCCGGAAAAACATTTTCAAATTGTCACAGGGCGAGTATATAGCTCCAGAAAAAATAGAGCAGCTCTATACAATATCAGATGCTGTTGGCCAGGTATACGTTCATGGCGATAGCATCAAATCAAATCTAGTAGGTATAGTAATTCCCGATGAAGATAACCTCGCAAAATGGTGCAAGGAAAAGGGAGTGGACGTTAATGAAAACTCGTTTGCTGATTTGTGTTCAATGACAGAAGTAGCAAAATTAATCATGGACGATATGAATAAAATCGGTCGACAGAACGGTCTCAAGTCCTTTGAATTAGTGAAAAAGGTTCACTTAGACAGTGACCCATTTACAGTGGAGAACAACTTGATAACACCCACCCTGAAATCAAGAAGAATCCAGATTGAAAAGAAATACAGAGCTCAAATTGACCATATGTATGAAGACTTGGACTAATTAGATGACGTCAACATGAAAAAAGGCAGATAACCAAACAAATTGTGCCCCGGGGGATAGTCTGTATCTGTCAATATATTCAATAGAAAGCAGCTTCTAAGATAACTTTGCAGCCTTCTAAAATTACGTGTTATATTATCCCGACATCCATCAAATGTTCTTTGATGGATGTCGGGATAATATAACAATTCTATGATCCAATCATTTTTATTACTATAGTTGTGGCCCTCTGGCGTTGTTTACGTTTATTCTTGATGGAGTATCAACAACAATATAATTTTACTCCTGTTTAAATCCGCCATATTTATTCAACCTTCAAGTTTATTCACTTCTTTCATTCGCAACATCTCAGGTAGTCATGTTATGGTGGAACGTTTGCATAATATTTTCGCCAATAGACTCTATTTTTGCTACTTGACTATTATCCAGCGTAGGTTACTATCAATATTATTTTGCATGTCCTGTTATGTTTTATCTAATGTTCTGTTATGTATAGAACAGCCATTTAACAATTTATCAGCCATTTATCGTATCTTGAAAGCTGATCTCTTGTGCCAGCGTGCCTTATGTTTGTGTGATCCAAATATTTTGTTACGATTATAAACGCCAAGCATTACTATTGTTGCCCATGTATTTGTCGGACTGTAATTTATACGATGATCGGTGATGTATTGCAAGTTGCAGCCTACCAAGTATGGATCTACAGTAAAATCTGATCCCGAAGACTACAACGACCGAATGTTTAATTTAAAGCATTTCCTGGTATTTGTCATCATGGAAACGTATAACTAATCGATTCACTATTTCTGTTTAATATTTTCGTCCGACTTGTTTGTATCATTAATATATATATTGTACCAAATATTCACAATCCAGTCTTACTTTGTAAATAAAATGATATTAATAAAACGGATACATTTAAAATTGATGCGATTTATTTTCTTAAAATCAGTTAACAGGTAATCTAATTAATTCTTAGTTCACAATGGAATTTAACTCCGAGTTATTTGCCCAAGCAACTGGGATGCGATGTTAACGCATAGGCTGTGATGCAACTGTACAACAGGTTACGAACGCAAGAAACCATGCGGCAAATAACTCCGAAATGCCCGAACACCCGAATTTCGATGCAGTAAAATTAAGAATGGCGGGAATGTGTTGTACGATTTTCGCTTTGAAATTAGAATAGAAGAGATGATGTAATGTTTAAGCAAGAAATAATAATCCAAATTTAACAAAAAAGGGTGTAAGCCTAAGAAGACAAAAAAAGACAGAAATTTGAACAAGGTGTGAGATAGTGTGAATGCAATCACGTGATTGAATTTGGAGAAAAAGGCAAATGTGCGATATTTATATTGTCCAAAAACTCACTAATATTTGACAAAGAGAAACGTTACAACTTGCAACTTTATCCCAAAATGAGAAATCAATGTTAGGCAGGGTAAATTCAATTCAAAGTAAATTCCCTGTTCAAATTTTGCTCAGAAACATTCAAAACTACAAGAGGTATTCCACGAAACAAATTAATCTATAATGATTTACGGAATAGTACAAATTCCACATGTTGCACTTCAATTATCAACGACACGACTTCGGTGGAATGAGCCAGGTCTGCCTGCAGCAACCTGCTCAAGTGTATGGGTGATTAACTATTGTTCTAGGACAGGGTGGTCCAATGTTGTCGGCTCCGGAGACTACAAATTTATTTTCGCATTGTTCGCGGGCCAAAATAGTGCCAGGAATAGGTAAATAGTGCAATACAAAACACTTATATTGTGCAAACACATCCTTCAACTTCGCTAGTAGCCTTAGCTAGCCATAGCACTAGTCCATTGATTGACATTAGTGATGTAACAATATGTCAAAAGATTTTTTCTGATTAATTTTATGACGAAACAACACCAAATGCGATTTTTTGAATACTTTCCGAATGCGACGCGGGTCACTGAAAATGAAGCTGCAGGCCATATGTGGTGTTCTAAAACAACGAATGCCAGAAGTCGTACTAAGAAGTCTGTTTAACAATAAATCGGCTTGTAAATTTCAGTCATGATTATATTGGTTTGCGACATTTACATTAAACTGGTATTCTAACATAGCTGAATATAGGCATGTCTGGTGTTCGTGTGTGTTCTTGTTTATAATGTGGCTCTTCGCCGTAATAAGGTACAAAATGTGGCTCTTGGTCTCTGACTGGTTGGCCTCCCCTGTTCTAGGTTGTCATTATAGCACTTGTGATTTGAATGTGACATCATCACATGAGAATTGCTGCCGATGGTTTTAGTCAGTTCAATACTAATTGTTTCAATTGGAACTTTGTATGACTAAAAATAATATAAACAAATGGATGAATCACTATTCCGTTACTCACTATAAAAACAGATTTACAGTTGAAAAATTACAGATTAAAACGTACTGTTGATTTTTTGTGGAGATACTTATATAACCTCACAAGAAGCAACTTAATAAAACGTTTTCCTGAGAAACATGATTTAAATTAATAATTCATTCCGCTCGCTTTTATATGACACACATTTATTTTTTTGCTGCACCTAAAATGTTTTGAATATAATTGAGGCCCATAATAAATTTGTCCATGCACAAAAATTGGAATACCGTGGCGCAGTGGCGTAGTAAGACTCTCGTGCCCCCCCCCCCCCCCCCGCAAAAATATTTCATGGAAATGACCCTAAAAACTCTCGGACATAAGCTAAAACAACGCTCTTTTATTTCGTCAAAAAGCATAACATGTCGCTATTAAAAGGCAATGGTAACATAAAATTTGCCGTTTATCTTGGTTACTTCAATTTTTTTTCATACGTGCTTCCTCTCCAGCCCTTTTTTCTGCGTTTCTGTGCGCCACTGAGAGGTTTTGCTTTCGACATCATTCTGACATCCTTCGTAATTTTGCAGGTGCGATCAAACCACAAGACGTCGAAAATCGACACGACTCCCTGGCATTGTTACGTAACAAAACGATTTGAGCAGAACTAACATCAACGTTAGATGTGCATTACTGGTTTCGCAATGCAACTTTTGGTTTTGCGGCTTACATTTCTAAATTCTAACCGCTTGGGCCCCTTTGCGCTGTGGGCCCTCCCGCGACCGCGGGGGTTGTGGGGGTGGATGCTACGCCACTGCCGTGGCGCCAAATTACATTCGGATGAATCCATGAGCTTCGTTATGTTTATATTTAAGCCGGAAACAAACTTGCGAGAAAAAAATTATGCGAGAACAATCTTTAGCAAAAAATATGTAGAAAAGTAATTCTGCGTATGCATTCCGCTCAAATACAAGTCTTCTCCCTGAAAATTCCATCCTCGCAGAAGTCCTTCTACGAAAATTTCATTCTCGCGAAACTACTTTTGCTTAAAAATCCGATTATCAAAATCGACATTTTTGTATCGTTATTATTAAGTTGTGCGAACCCAAATAACCGGGAAATGTTTTGTTTCAAGTGTCTATTTGTAGTTTGGAAATTCGTCCCCAGAGCATGCTTTATTTTTTAACAACGAGGGATCAATGTTCAAACTCATTGTACGAAAGCCAGAGCGAAGTAGTACGTGTATGCAATCGTCCACAGTGAACTACCGATACCGCTGTCTTCATGAGTTCCCCTTACCACCAGATAGCAACAAATGCAAACGCGGAACCGCCATCATCGCACACTAAGAACGAATCCCATGAAACCCACAGAGATTTTTGAAATAAAAAAAGTAATTCCATAACCATCGAAGATTTCAAAGCAATTGGCCTACTAATTGAAACAAAAAGCGATTTGTTCATAACAACAAGAAGAAAAGAAATAGTGTACTAACAAGAAGATCAACAATACCAACATAATAACCAAACGATCGATAGCTCCACCTCAAACGCATAGTTGTAATGTTCGTATATCGGAAACATGATCAATTGAATCTTAACTGCCAGGATGGTATTGTCTCTAGGCTATCCATAATATTCCAGCACCATATGTTGTCGAATTATTGCGTTATTATTATTCATCATCAGCTCAAATACCAAGTATAATATCGTCACGCTAATAACCAAATTGCGTGAGTCACTTTTTGGCGATTTTGAGTTTTTCATATATATAATAGTTATTTATGTCATTCTGTGTACTGTTAGATTTTACCAGATAGATGCTGAAACGCATGAACGGAAGATAGTATGTGACGCACGCATTGTTGCAATTGGTCGGTGATAATGAGTTGTTATTGGTTTGACATAACCAATATATAATATATATTTCAAACATAAAAAATGATGTTTTAAAAACAGATTATCGGTTTTGGGATAAGACATAGTGGATACCGTAAATTACATATACGCTATTCGAATGTTTGGTCTTTAGGACTCATGAATATAATCAAGTTGCAAAATTGCGTATGTTTCTAACATTTCTGCGTAAGTCACAGTGCGCCATTATTGCGTCACACGCCTACGTCATGCAAATCCGGCTACGACTAAAAAATTGAACCATGTTAAATTATTTACTCTTAATGATATAGCAATATCTCCAGGAAGTTTTCTGTGTGTTGCTCAAAACAGATAAAAATGACTTACGCACTTTTGTTATTATCGTGACGAGATGTTACTACCAACAAGGGTAAAATAGCAAATTAGGAGTTCAAGTCGTCTGAAAATTTGTTAGTGAAGTTATAGGTAGGTTCAGATTAACTTCAACCTTGGTTAGAATTTGTACAATTTCCTTTGTAAAACACGTATCACGAGTTACTGGGGAGACACGAATCCCTGCCCGAATATCAATTTTTAGTTTTGTGACAAAAAGATATATATTTATTGCGTTGTTACACATTCGTGACCCTAAAACTCGTACCATGTTTAATATTACGCGGTTACCTCTAACATGCTATTTTGCACTAAATTTAAACTGTCTCATTCTCATTATCTCGGGCCGGTCTTGATTATAGCATTCATAAAAACTTTTCATAGAATAAATACCACGAGTATGGTGGCCCATCGTTGTCACGTGTAAAATTTAAAAAAAAAATGAAGAAATAAAATGAAAAAGCGAAAATAAAAAAATAGTTGTAAAAAAACATAAAAATAATTGAAAAAAAAAATAAAAAAAAATTGAAATTAAAAAAAATATTGAAAAATAAAACAAAAAAAAAAATTAAAAAAAAAATTAAAATTAAAAAAAAAAAAAAAATTGAAAAAAAAAATTGGATAAAAAGAAAATAAAAAGGTTGACAACAATGGTCCGCCTCGTGGCCCATCGTTGTCACGCGTTTTTATTTTTGAAAAATTTGATGCTGCTCGGGACCAACGTTGTCAGGCTTAATCCTACACGCACAAATGTGTTTCCTGGGTTTCTAACTCACTACTGATTTTCATGAGCAATATCCAATAAATTCAACATGAAAATGTTCTATAAATTCTCCATGCTACAAGTTCAACCACAAGCAATATATTTATAATAATGATAAGAGAATATAGAATTGGATACGAAAATTTGTTTTTACGTGTAGAAGGTAATTTAATTGGAAAATGCTGCTTAACTGCTCAGACACTCGTGCGATGCCGGTACGGTACCGTCTGACCGTACCGGTACCCATGCAATCACTCGTGAAAGAATGGGAGATACGGATAGTCTCGTAGAATATAGTCTACTGAAACACTCTCTGCGCCTGCCCCATACCGTACAGCCGTAACGTACCGATCCAGACAAATGATAAATCGCCCGTGCTCAACCATTTATTTCAATCCATACCTCGACTCACTATATTCTACTAGGATCATGGTATGGATTGAAATAAATGGTTGAACACTGGCGATTTATCATTTGTCTGGATCGGTACGTTACGGCTGTACGGTATGGGGCAGGCGCAGAGAGTGTTTCAGTAGTCTATATTCTACGAGACTATCCGTATCTCCCATTCTTACATGAGTGATTGTATGGCTACCGGTACGGTCAGACGCAAAGCGACTATAACCGACTACCGGTATTTGGTAAGATGGTACGGTACCGGCATCGCGAGTGTCCAGACAACTGAGTAGTTAAGCAGCATTCTCCAATTAAATTACCTTATACACGTAAAAACAAATTTTCCGAATTTTCGTATTCAATTCTATATTCTCTTATCATTATTATAAATATATTACTTCTTGTTGAACTTGTAGCATGGAGAATTTATAGAACATTTTCATATTGAATATTGCTCAAGAAAATCAGTAGTGAGTTTGAAACCCAGAGAACACATTTGTGCGCGTAGGATTATGCCTGACAACGTTGGTCCCAAGCAGAAGCAAATTTTCTAAAAATAAAAACGCGTGACAACGATGGGCCACGAAGCGGACCATCGTTGTCAACCTTTTTATTTTCTTTTTATTCAATTTTTTTTTTAATTTTTTTTTTTTTAATTTTTTTTTTTGTTTTTTTTCGTTTTTATTTATTTATTTTTTTTTAATTTTAATTTTTTTTTTCATTTTTTTTTTAATTATTTTTATGTTTTTTTACAACAATTTTTTTATTTTCGGTTTTTTATTTTATTTTTATTTTCAATTTTACGCGTGACAACGATGGGCCACCATACACGAGTATTATGGAATATAACACAGTCTAGCAATGTTTCGGAATATCATTAGGAAATTTAACCTGCCATCGGTCAAATGGGTCAATCAGCACGAGACAAACAATAATCTAAAATACATTTTGCTACATTTTATTTTCCGTTTCGAATGTTTCATCATAAAACTATACAGAAACATTATTGAAGACATCAACTTTTTGTGATAACAATTGCAGGTAGATCATATGTTATCCTGGTCTTTATATCATCTTCATTCTTTCTCTCCGCTCCAAGAAATCTCTTTAGCCGCTCTATGAAAATATCAAGTGGGTCAACGTCTGGACGATTATTCTTCATCAAAGCATAATATTCTCCCTTTGTCGTCCAAAACTCGCGATAGTTTCTCAAAGTCCAATCAACAGTAAACTGCATCCCATCTAAGAAAGACTTCGCCTTAGTTGGTATTTTTTTGAATAGTGGAACGTAGCGTTCTAGAATGAGATTATTTCTTTCGTGTCCGTTGATATCTTTCAGGAACTGTCGATTCAGCTGGTCAAATTGGTAGTCTAAATCTTTTTGGTTAGAAACCTTTTTCTCTGGAAGAAGTATCATGGAAGCTTCTAAACGAACGTAAATTACTGCACAACCATCAGGTTTCAAGACTCTCTGACATTCTTTAGTAAAATACTCGATATCAAACCAATGAGCAGCATCCACGCATGTAACTAGATCGATAGAATTATCCCCGACAGGAAGATTGTTGTCAAGCATTTTCTTATACGTTACATTGTCAAATTCGTTCACATCTTCCGCCACTTCCAACTGTTCGGCACTGATGTCGACTCCTAAAATATGTTTGAAATAGGGACTGAATGACTTGATTGCTTGTCCGCTACCACAGCCAACATCCAACATGCGATCAAATGTTTTCTCAGCAGATCCTCCTTTGCATTGTCTCAAACGTCCAACAACTTGTTCGGCAACATGTGGCGGAATTGTTGTCCTATATTTATGATATTTCTGTGCCAATTCCTTGCCTTCATAAATGCTGATAAAATCATTCAGCCCCATTTTTCAAAACTCTTGAAAACTTATTTCTATTTTTTATTGCAACAAATGTACTAGAAAAACATAAAGTTAAAAACTATTGATGCATAGACACACCTGAATATTTTTTTGAAACGACAGTTATACGAATAGTGGCGTCATATTTTGATAACGTCTTTGAGTCATTGGAGGCTTGTTCAACAACCGCACTTTCTCACGCCCTACAAAACTCTCACAAACACTCATTTTAGTACACTTTACTCACCCAAATTTTCAAGTATTATCACGTTATTTTAATTTAAATCGTTTTATTCGATTCGCATACCACGACCACTATCAGTTATATGAAAAAGATCTGCATTCTGACGACATCCAAAAAGTATTGTATAGGAATACGAGTACAATTACGTACTCATAATTGTATATTCCTCAACGCAATGCACTACTCGATGATGATGTTTATTTTGGAATATTTATCTTACATCAGCAGCGTTTATTGATCAGCACCAAAGCAAGCAAGTAACATTTTGTAATATATATTTGTAACATAATTAACAACACACTGAGCATCCGGCAACCGCGAGTAATCAACGTAAAAGACTGAAACTCAAAAAAAAAAAGATTTCAAAAGCAAACACAACAATACAAACAAAAAAGGTCACAAAAACAAACACTGAAACATCTACAAATAGACAAACCTGGAACCCAATATCAATCTTTCAGCCAGCACTATAAAGACAGACTCAACCCATCCATCTCTAATATTCTCGTATCTTTTAATACATTATTTGTAATTTTTATCATTTGCAGCCATATCTTGTTTTATCTGACTATGATCTAACGAAAGCTAATAAATATACTTATTATTTCGTATAGAAAGAGATTATGTTATTTCTAATTAACAAATATCTGATTTTTCAAAAGTTACACCGATTGTTCTCATTTGTAAAAAATGTAGTTTGAAAAGAATTTAAATCTTGGAGTTTATATTATTATATGTATATATATTGTTCAAATACACGGGTATAAGATCAATCCCATAATGAGTGTGTTTCGCTAGTGTTTTGCGAAAGAGACCCTTGAGGTGTTCCTCGTCAAATTCGGGTATTTATTGTTTCGCATTTTTTGATTGGCATAGAGTAAGCCTAGAAAATGTTTCATTGGGGTTCGACTTCAACAAAAAGGTTGAAAACCGATGTCCTACGTAAACTATTATTTGAGTAAATTTAGTACAAATGAATATGTATTTTGATGCTTCAACCAGATAAAGATCAAAACTGAAGCGGGAAAGGAGAATATAAATAGACAACAACTGCCATAAATGCATCAAAGGTTATTCGCTATTGATTTTATTTTTTGAAAGGCTGAAAGGACAAAAAAGTTTTGAAACTATAAAACAGCGCCGCATGTTTCCCACTCGACAATGTTTTCAGATATGTTTTAAATTATATTTATGACATCAACACATTATTCTGCTCACAACCGTTTCCAAAAAATGAACCGTGTCACGAGCGGTTTCAGAAAAATAAATAAAACACCACGAAGCAAACACGGCTCCAGCTCGTGTCCGATTTCTCAATGATCACGATACATAAAAAATTGTGCTCTTTTGAATCTAAAGAAGGTTGTGCAGAATTAATGATTACGTAATATGTTCTGTAAATATACTGTTGCACTACTTTATTCATTGTTTGCATTTTAGCTCTACCTCACATCTGACGAAGCCATTTTGGTTTACGCTCAACCAGATATTACATCCGATTTGCCCTGTATTTAGAGCAGCGTTTCCCAACCTTTCTTGGTCGCGGACTGTTTTCTCACTGGCGAAAACCTTCTGCGGACTCTAGGAGCGTTTATTGCAACATTAAAATTTCAAAATCGGAAATTCGCCGCAATTACGCGTTTGTTAAAAGAGCCGACTTTTTTAGTGTATAATGGCCGTTTCTGTCGCACAATATTCAGTCTATGACAACGACGAGAATTTAAAATGTCTTTCAATTTTTATTTATTGTGTTCATGGTAACTCGCGGTTGCGTCGACTTATGACAAGATGAAAGCATTACTTCTTTAAAATGCCACGGCAATCTGCGAACATAATAATGTGAGAATATATTGCCCGATTATATTTAGTTTTGATACATATTTTTTACGATCTTGCGAATTTGTTATCGCCGTTAGAAAAATTCTACTTTCTGCTGTAAAGTTCCAAAAAGTACAACTTGATTTAGCACTTAAAAATATATTTAAAGTTTATTAGTGAATCAATAATACATATTCGTCGCCTTGCTTTACTATTAAGTTAATTGTGATGATTTTAATCTACAATTGTGTTGACGAAATAATAGCAATACTACTCGGAATATATCAATATGGTAAAGTGCCCGATTATATTTTGTTTTGATTCGTATTTTTGTGAATTCGACAAATCTGAGCTGTTCGTACGACAATTACGGCGCTGTACTTACCAATGTGGAGACTGAGGCAAAGAATTCCAAGGAAAAATGCCCTGGTACGTATACCACGGTAACACCCGAAATTTGGCGATTTGCAATGTCCAAAAAAGCGTTTTTAATCGGTCGCGGACAATCATAAAACAAAACTTATGGTGTTATCCGTTTTATTTCTAGTATTTTGTATAGTCGCTTTTCAATTTAGAAAATTTGGGTTGTCACCATTGACACCTACCAAAAAAAAAAAAAAAAATTTCTCGTTGTTCGAACTCGCGAACTCTATCGAAGCGTGTGCAGACTCGTGTTTTCGTCGGAAGGTGTTTTCGTCACCTGATACCAAATTTTCGAATAGTAAAATGCTATTCTAATAGTTGAATATTCGAATATATGCCCAGTCCTACTCATTAGCCAGTATTTATTGACTCGAATAATGTTATGTGAATAAACTTGTCTTTTATGTTTTATGTAAATTCTAACGTAAATCATAACTTGGCTGAAGTTTCGCAAAAACGTTTGCAGCCCGCAGTGAATTTCTGGCTCGTTGCGGACTCATTCAAACGCTTCGCGGACTCATTTGAGACCGCGGACTCGGGTTGGGAAACCCTGTTTGAGAGACTCTCGGAACACTTTGCAATAATTATTTTAAAAACACAATTAACAAATATCTGCTTTTTTTCAAATTTTCACTGATTGTTCTCATTTGTTAAAAAAAGTAATTTTAAAAGTTTTTCTACAGCGATTACAAAGTGCTATGTGTTCTTCTACTAACCAATTGATTATTCTCATTCTAAACAACACGCTCTTCTGTGCTTTCTGGGTTAATGCGTCAATGTGTGTTTTGTGGATCAAACGTTTTAGATTAGATAGTTTATTTTAAAGTCATATTTAAATGTAAAGTGCTATACAAATACTCGGGGAATTTTGATATTGTGTTATGAAGTGCAGGTCCTTTCTATGTTGATTACTTTCTACTTCGGATCCGTATTAGGGTTGCCAACTTTGTGTTAAAACATTCCGGGACACCTTAACGACTAGAATTTGAAAATTGATGAAACAAAGGCTTGTGAATCACGAAAGACATCAAAAGAAACAGTGTACGCTGTGCGTCGAAGAGTGATCATCCCGCGGCGTTATTTTCATAAATTCAAGTCTTTTAAATAATTTAAACCAAATCAAAAAAAACTTGAATGTTGAATCTTTGAGGCATAAATACAAACGAATCAATCTAATCCAGTGGATCTAAAGTGGATAAATATCCAAAATAGGGCGGGCAAATCTAACGAGTATTTTTATTGTTAATTAGCTTCACGTCTTCTCAAAAAATTGTCCACGAGCCTCAATTGTGGGCCGCGCCTCGCCTTTTGAGAACCACTGATCTAATCCTATGTTCACCTTTACCCTTTACTTTTAACATTTTTTCTTTACTTGCCTTTAACTGACTCACAGCTACAGAATCGCTTTGAAACTATCTGCGTTTTTTCAATTAATATACCAAGTTGAATGATGCTCTCAAATTAGGGTGACTACTGTATATATGCAATCCAGTTTGCAATTGTTTTAACTTATTTGATTAGTATGTCACCAGAAAGTCATGGTTATAATCGCTGTTATTAAGTTATATATATCTTGTATTGTTTGAAGAAGTTGGACCATGATCTAACGAAAGCTCACAAATATACTTACTATTTCGTTGAGAGAGATCATGTTATTTTTGCTATACAAATGTTTATTTTTGCATTATCGAGACATCGGTGTTTCCATATTAAACTATCCCACAGAACAAGTGTTGTAATTAATGTTGTGTATGGCTTTAATCTGGTATCTTTGAATTTGCGTGAATTTTGCAATGTATCTGTTGAAAACAACAATCATCTTTTTTTTAAATATGATTACTCCTCAATATTCTGGAAACAATGGAACCAGTGGAAATTTACAAGTGTTATTAAAAGTTATTTTAAGTGTTAATAAAAAGTGGAGTGTTTTTTCGAAATTTCTTCGACAACATTTGTGATTGTGTTTTGGTTGCTGGCCGATTTTACTTATATATACGAATGTAAAATTGGTAAATGAAAGCCACTGTTCAAATTGACACTATCACAAAGAACGAAAAAGCATTTGTATTGAAAAAAAGGGAAAATACTTAAACGTAAGATGGCGCACAACCTGAACATAGTATGTGTACCGGGTTAGGGTTCAAGTTGTTCGCCATCTTGGTGCACATACTTCGGGAGCCCCCTTTTTTAATATTGTATATATATGACTTTGTTACTGGTTGAAAAAAAAATAAACTTGACTTGTAACATATTATAATGTATAGTATTGTATTGTCATAGTGGGGCTGGCATAATACGACCACTGCGTGCCAGGAGAAATAGAGACGATGATTCGAATCAGGGCTGACAAAATACGGTCAGTGCGTGTTGAATTTGGGCTGGGTAAATACGGTCAATGCCTGTCGTATTCAGGCTAGCTAGTTTCAATCATTACTACTCAGCCATATCCGATATTGTTGCTCAGTCTGGCCCCATGATAATAAAACACTTGTCTCAAAATTGCAAGAGTATTTTAAAAACTGTTTTCAGGAAAAGGGAACGTGAAAGTGTAAACCATTACTGTAAAGTGCTAAATATACTCAAATTGAAAATATAATGAAATTTGAAGTATTAGTCTATGATTATCGTAACAATTCCGTGTCAAACTGCTTCGTCAATATACTAATCAAAACTACTTCTAATCGAAGAAGTTGGAGTTCCAATTTGTCCATACCTTTTATGAGTAAATCTGTGAGCCAGCATGCCCCAATACTGGGCCCAAGCTGTGGAATTCTCTTCCCTTGAATTTGAAGACATTGAAATTCAAAAAATCTTTTCAGAAAAAAGTCAAGTCCTAATTGGTATCCAAATATTAAAAGTTATTATTTCAGAACCACACTGATATATATACTTTTAGTATGTAAATTAGCTGCAACGTTCTGATAGCTTGAACACAAATAAATATCGAACCCCGAAAGAAAGACCATGACAGAAAGTTAAGCAGTTAAGCTCTCTTCATCTGTTTTGCATCATAGTTGTCTATTCATCGGGTTCTATAGCATGCGTAGCCTTAGGTTTTTCCTTATATAGCTGTTCACATTCTGACATCTGCATACGCATGTTTATTTTTTCAATGTTGGGCATCTGCAACGACTAACATACCTTCTGACATTTCACATGCATGATTTTAGTTTTATATTTGGGTGGTGTAATAGTTTAGACGGTATAATTTAGCTCCTGTATCTGTTATGGTAATTAGGTTACCAGTCGAGCAATCATCGAATTCTCCCCTTGCTTTTAATTTGCTGTAGTATTATGTGCTGTTTCCTGTGTGTATACAGAGATTTTCTCCTTGGTCAAGGTTTTGCTGTGAAGTTAAGATAATGGCCAACGAACAATTTCTGGTGTGTCTCAACCACAATTTCCTCTTCCTCAGGTCTTTCCACTAGCAGTCTGATGATAGATAATTAATATTGATCAATATTTACTAAAATCAACAATTTCTACTCAAAAGTGTAGGGTAGTTTTTTATTGTTTCCTATTATGCAATCATTGAATATTCTACTCGCAGATTTATTTTTCGTTTTTCAGGACGTCGTGATGATCAATTCTAAAAGCTAGCTAATTTAACATAAAAGTTGTATACATCAATAAAACTTGCAGGCTGATGGATCATCCGTGATAAATTTGAACTGATTCCAGTGATCGACAACCTCAATTAAATTTTCTTGCCCATAATCCATGACTTTAGAAACCTTACTTGAACCTTTAATAACCTATATATTCCCGTAACCAATTTTCCTACCTCTGTATCATACTGCCTTAATTCATTTTTATTATAATTACCGGTAATTTTTTTGATTAATAATATTTGAAATAACTTGGACGCTCAACCTTTCATTCATGACTTTTTCGTTTACATCGGAAAATTATTTTTGTATTGAAATGGAGTATTTGCGATGTCAATAGCATATATAATGAAAAAGATGATTGATGACAGGTTCTGTGACGTTGTTTTGGAACAACATTATGAAAGAAAGGTAAAGAGCAACTTTATTGAAACCCCGTTACCACAATGACACTAGTAATAATAAACAATAACATTAATCAACTTTACAGCGGAATGAGCTATATTTCTCTGAGACCCGAAAAAAGCTCTTTTTTCCACTTCATGTAAAAACATTTCAAACCACTTTCTCCCTTCTCTTAGCATAAATGTTTGCTATACTTGTCAACACAACGAGCATTCGATAGAAAATGTCCAAATATATTTATATCGCTACATTGAGATCTATAGTCTTGAAAAGATGGATAGTATTCATAAGATGGGGACATTGATAACGACTGCCCTACTAGTTTCTTTATAGTTAATGGTGGTAATTTTGCAACAAGAGACTCAAATGTGCACAGATTCAATTGATTCCCCGCGTCGATGTATTTATGCATGGACAACAGCATATTATACAAATATACACCTTCGATGTTTGCTATTCTCTCCAAACATCGTACATGTAATCCTTTAAAGATATATACTGATCTTTACTGTGACCCATAACTAATGGTGACCGTACATTTGAACCCATGTGTATATCCGCGGGTTCAATCTAAATGCGGGTGCTTTTTCTAACTCACACTTTGCTTCCACGCATAAACTCACAAGAGTTTTATGCAATTCCACAAACTCCACATTTTGACAAACTTTGGCTATTCATTTCTTTGTCGTCTTTTTAGGAAGACATGGTCGAAGACTAATACGCCATTTTGTAGAAATCTTTTCTGTGTGCTTTTCCCCATCAGGAAAGGATCAGAATTACTTTTACTTCGTAGGAAATTCAACCCATCTCCTACTGCAAACTACTTGTCTCACTCAACATACAAGAATTGCCATTGCAATAAAACAATCGCAGGAGATTTTACAACGATTAGACCAATTACATAAGCGATTGGAGATATTTTTCTCTCAGGACCATAACCCGAGGACTCCCTACGACGGTCGCGACTTAAGATGTTTCGAGGTTACAAACGCGCACTCCATAACGCTGTTTCGAGGTTACGAACGCACTTTACGAACATTTACAGATATAAAAGATAATACTGTACTGTAATATCTAAGCCTATAAACTGGATCATTGTGATCAGGAAAATTAGTGCTCTGGGCTCATTGGTTTTCGTTATTTACATCGTCACCAATTGCGAACTATTACGATTATGAACGAATAATCACTAAGCTTCAGTCACATGGTACAGTACAGTACTGTACACAGTTCCAGTGATACATTACTGAACACAGTTTCAGTGATACTGTAGGTCATTTTGGTTGTTTTAAGACGTTTTTTTCGTAACTTGTTTGATCGTTTTTTTTAATTTTTTTACTCTTACTCTTTGTTATGGACTCAAAGCAGAAACAAGATAATCTTATTTGTACATTTTATTAGTGTACAGTACCATACTTTACAATACAGTACGATGTGTATAATTCATGCACTGTACCACTGTACAGTATAATGTTCCGACATACACTGAAATTCGGGTTACACCGAGTCTCAGGAACGGAACTGCGTCGTAAGTCGAGGACTCCCTGTACTAGTGTGCCGCAGGCACAAGGAATTCATAAGATTTGTAATGTCTAAGAAAGTCTTTTTAATCTGTCGCGGTACACCCCGAAACAAAACTCATGGTGTTTTCCGTTTTATTTTGAGTATTTTATAATCTCGCTTTTACAATAAAGAAATATTTGGTTGCAGATTCACTACTTTATTCTATCTTTAGCATCTCGTCGCTGATGATTATATAATAAAAACTAACTCGTCTTCCTCAGAGGTGTCATGGTTCCATTCGAGAACAAAAAAAGTAATTATAATCGTCTTCGCGACACAAGAATATGTCGAGGGAAATTTCTGATTTAGGGAGAATAAACCCCGAAATCAAGATTTTTACGACTCAAATAGCACGCCACGCTTACGAAAACAATCGAGATTTAAACAAAATGAAATCGCAAACGCCTTAGCGACTTTATTTTTCAGCGGTCAAGGGCCGGGGAAACGTCCACATGCATAATAACTATTAAAAAATGAACTGCTTTTAAATTTACATAAATTCATTTGTAGCCTACTTCTCCATTGTGTTTGAAACGTTAGGCAAACCAAGAAGTCTGTAATTGTTGCTTATTTTTAACACACAGTACAGTACAGTAGTGTTCTAAAACTACCGACTTGAAATAAATTCTACTCCGTGGGATTTTATCGCAGACTAACGAATTTCTGTAACGGTGTTAAAATTAATCGAGCATTGCGATAGAGCGGAGTAAGAGTTGCAGGGACAGCTCATAATGGTGAAATTGGCAAGAATACAAATCAAAACAAAATGTAATCGGGCACTTTGCCACACATTTTTATGGTTGCGGATTACCGTGTATTTTGGAGTAGTGGTGCTTTTATTTTATCGACGCAATGGCAGATTTCATTTATCACAATTAAATGAAGAAAGCAACCATTTTAAATAAGTATATCGGTCATGGATTGAATATTTTATTCAACAGGAAAACCATTACTAAACCAAAAAAAACCATTACTAAACCATTACTATCTGTTGACAAAGTCCGCTCTTATAACGACTGGCGTATTCTCGAGTACCGACTCAGGATTCGTACCGCGGGGATTTCGAGTCGATGAATACGGTATGTATTTTAATTGTACTAAATTAAATATACTTTCTGGGATATTATACCAGATCTTTTTAATGAAGACAACGAATCGGGCAGTTGATCACACTCTAATATGTCCGCGGATTGGCGTGGTATTTTAGATCGGTAACGAATTTATCTTGACATGAGTCGCCGCAACCGCGAGTTACCCTTGAACACAAATGAATTAAAATAGAGAGACATTTTGAATTCTTGTAGTTATAACGAGACAGAAAAATTATTATACCACGAAAAAGCCGGTATTTTTAACGAACGCGAAGACCGTTTCAGGAGCCGTTACATGTAAATTTCCGATTCCATCTTGTGACCTCTCGCCCCCCAGAGCACCCCCCCTCCCCCCTGTGAGCATCTCGCGCCCCCTTAGTGGGGCGCGCCACCTAGTTTAAGAACCACTGGTCTAGGCAGTATGGAGTCGAAATAAACTTGTATACTTACTTTTATTAAATAGGACCGTAGGTAACTTTCAGACTTTAGATTTAATCTAGCTTTCTCAGTTTCTGGAGTCATGAATTCTTACGAAGGAGTGCCAAATAAGAGACAGCGCATGAATGATAACGGAATAAACTTGAAGGTACCGTAAATACTAAAATACCACAGGCTATCTGCATATAGCCTATTTCAATAAAGCTGTATACATACAAACGCCGACACATTAATTGTTTTGAAAAAATGCAGAAATGATACGGTATCAGTATTCAACTAAATCTTATCACAGTACCAAAATATATCCCAATTCTTAACATTTGGGAACCTAAATCCAGTCGGACAAGAAAGTTAAATTGTGGTATGTTTCATTGAGCTGGAGAGACCTTTTTGTTCCGAATATGGGATAAATATGTGAATCCGAAATGCTGAAATAGGCGAAATATGCTCTTCCTAAGCTTGATACTACATTCTGCTTTATTCAACACCTAAACTAATCATTCGTAATTCATACAAAGATTGCGAAGTAACACATAAATAAAATACTATCATGTTTTTGTATGTTCTGTCATAATGTGATTTTGATTCACTGGTATTAAATTTTTGGCTTGAGAATCTTGTGTTCTTAATTTTTATCAACCTCATTATTGCTGTATTGAAAATAACCATTATCAAATATTTTACACAATTTCATAAAACAATTTGGATTGTTTGGACAGCACCAAATCCTTTTTGCTAATCAGTTCATCCCAACATTTAAAATATATACTGATATATGTTGAATGAATAAACTTCTATTATCCAACTAACTAGCACCTATAAGAATCTCTCAACAATAATTAGGATCCATTACATTATTCTTAAAAAGATGAAAAAGTGGGTATCTAGCAGTCTAGTGTAGTTAAGTACCTAAAGTACCTCTAGTGGGTGTAGCATAACCATTTTTGCACATGTCAATCCTAACCATCACCTGATTACGCCATCCAAAAATACACAGACCCGAAAAGTGTTTTAAGCATTTCAAATATATTAATTATATCAGTAGGTCACAGTTCTCCATTTCCAGGATGTTCGAACATTTGGTTAAATAAAACAAACACGAAACGAGAGCGTCTGGCACAGCTATCATATGCCCATATAGTCACATTCTAACATGTCAGGTCATCTTTCGTTTTTGATCACAGTAGGGTAGGGTTTTGAAGAAATTTCTCTTCTATCTACCGATCTGTAATACCAAAAATCTTATTCTCTCTATTATAGGGTGAATATGAATCTTCTGAGAGCAGTGAACCTCCTCACAAATTCAGGTAAAATTATATCAATGTCATGTTTGGTGGCAGCTTTTTGATGAGAAAAGTCATCTTTACTCGAACTAGATGCTGCCGATGTTATTTGAATTGACTCTGCTTGATGTATTTTTTAACGTTAGGATATAATATATTTATTCACACATGTTTGCTTCATAATTTAAGATTGAAAACTGCCTGATATTTTTCAGTGTTGTGTTCTTCTTATTTGAGTAGTAATTATGGTCTATGTCAGGAATGGCGAACCACTGACGAGCGGCTGACAAAGTGACCCATCATGTTTTTTGAGGTGACCTGCCAAGTCCCAAATTGTGAAAAAAACATACCAACATTTCAATAATGAAACCAGTCGTAATTTGATCTAACAATATGTGAGCTACTGAATGTCTGGGGACAAGCGTGATGAAGCACATTGTACCACAACTAGGGCTGTCCAAGCGAACCGAATATTCGAAATCGCAAATTATTCGAAGCGTTTTTAGGCCAATTTACGAATTGCTAAAATTTGGTACATAATGCGCCTCACGACCACCGGGCAAGCGAAAACATGTTTCTATCGCTTTCTTTGCTGTTAAAAGATCTCTCCTATTGCCCGGTGACATGTAATTATCCATTTCATGCATGGTCATAAATGAAAAGTTATCGGTAACAATGATTTAAAGATGACGACGGTTTTTGAGAGAACACAAAGAGAAAAAGCAAATTTTGTGTCAGCAAAAACGCTAGTTCTATAAATAGAATCGATTTGTAGCCCTTAGAGTCGGTAATCATAGGAACATGGTACAGGACTGAAACACGTTTTGGAGGTCCAATATCTTTTCCAATAGAATTTGTAATTTCTTCTAATGACAATACTTTGTTTCATCCATATATTACTATGACAAATAATAGCACTCTTGTGAGTTGATGGCTGTTGTACAGCAACAATATGGTCATCAAATATTAATGTCATCAAACTAGCTCTGAATTTGTGAGTTCCTGAAATGCAATTTTGAATTTTTTGGGCAACAGTTATATCTATATTAATAGTTGTTTATCATTTTACTGAAAATTACACAAAAAATATTGAGTTAATAATACTAATGATAATAGGACTAAAATAGCAACCACGGGCATGTCTGTGCAATTTTCAACTCTTGATAGTTTTCGAAACCCTAATTTTTTGATCAGTTCAAGGAGGCTTGTGATCTCCTTTTATAACTCTGGAAACATGGTTATGCAAAATATTTGCAATAATTCAGATATAACTGCACATACGTCATCACACTATTGAAGAGGAAGTTTTTATTGGAGACAAATTTAGGATTGCGCAATAATATTCAATTATTCGGTTCGATTCGAGAAAAATATTCGGTTCGATTCGAATCAAAAAAATATTCGACTTTGGACAGCCCTAACCACAACAAATACAAGTTTGTCACTGTCAAGGTTTAGAGACTAACAGACCGAGTGAAACGACCAACAATTTCCCAATCTATATTTTACTTTGCCCTTAACTTCTTAACACTTAGCAAGCCAAGAATTGTTAGTACTCGATCAGTCGATTGTATTGCGAAGATTTTAGTCAATCTCAGTCGAAAATAGGTTGGTCGGTCCTGTACTATCTATAGTATGTGAGCTACTTGGCCCACGATCATTTTTCCGTGATAAAAATCCATCCATTTTTGATCCATTCAAAAAAAAAAGGTTTTCCAACCCTATCTATGTGCTATATAAGGTGAGTGGGCATGCCCACTCCTGTTTCAACTTTCATTTGGGATTTCGCTGCCAGCTTTCCTGGTTTCGTATTGTTACCATGTTGTGTTGTTGTATAAAAGAATATAAATATTTTTCCACATTCACAGCCACGGACCACCACCTCAGCCCAACAAAGTTTTGCTATTCACGATCATCAATGCAATATATCCTATTACTACAGTAAGTACTATGCAAAATCATCATAAATTTGAATTTAAACTAATGAAATTCTGTACATGCTGTCAATGATGTTCGAACTAACGATGTGCGATTATAATAGTATAGTCGACTTATGTTGTTAGTCTAGCTATTTTTATGTTAAAGTTGTGTATCGGATATTTATATTTGTTATATTGGATTTACGTTTTGCAGAAAGTAATGGAATCAATCTGCAAAGATATAGGTGAAGTGCAGAGAATTGTCATTTTCCGCAAGAGAGGAGTGCAGGCAATGGTTGAATATCCTTTTTAAAATTACAGTAATCTATGTTTCACATAAATCAATGTGACTGGATATAATAGGGAATATTATTAAAATTGTAAATATGATATTCTGCATAAGTTCTGTTTTGCATCCAAAAGTTATTAATAGAAATATCACAAATATTTTTTATGTAGTATATGTGGACTTTTTTGTAAATTTTATTGTTTTTATATGTGCCAATGCTTAGCTGATTTGTTTCTGCTGTCATTATTTCATCATGGAGGGTTGGCGGGTCACATTATTTTTAAATCTTGATTGCATACAAACTGCGATCATATCATGTACACAAGTCGGATCGTTTGCTTCCGTTTATCAGATTCGCCAGATCGTATTCTTTGATGATGCACACAAAAGCTGTTAGTAATATTCATTTTCGGAATTTCAATGACAATATATCGGAAAATGAATGAATGTATTGTATTTATTTTCAGATTTTAAAATAAATCTTTTTTTCAATGATTTCTAATATCTCCTTTAACTAAAAATATTAATAATAGCACATTTGACAGTATACAATCAGCTCAACATGCTAAAGCTTCCCTTAATGGAGCAGATATTTACTCTGGATGTTGCACATTGAAGATAGAATATGCCAAGGTCAGTTTCATTCATTGGTGAACTGTTATCACTTCACACTCAATGTGATGAACTAACAGAAATCTTTGATTTTAGCCTGCTCGTCTTAATGTTTACAAAAATGACAATGAAACTTGGGACTATACTGGAGCGCTGGGTAAGTCACTAATTTTTTTCCAAAGTATGAAGAAATTATTATATAATTCAATTCAACTTATCCAGTCATTTGAAACTGAGTCTTAAAACACAGAATCTAGGTAGTGTTTTTGTTTTTAATTCCTCATTACATTATTCTTTTTCTTATAAAGTAAGCGTTTTTGGCCTAAACTACGATATTGTCATTATCACGTATCACCTATATCTTTGATTTAAATGATTTGTAATTGATAATGATAATTAGTAATGATTGTAATTATTGTGTAACTTAAAAAATCATGGATTATTTCATGGGATTTGAATATAATGGAAACGCTGATAAAATATTATTGAAAAACATTAAACAAAACAAACAACATTGCTGAGTTTCCAAATATTCACAATTTTCATTCTTTATTTTTTTCTTCTTTTAATCATAATTCAATGATATGAATCACTTTATTATCCACTGATTTATATGTACAAACTTTCTACTGTCATGAGTTATCTTGTTATACAGTACATCACTCTGATTTTAAAATGTGTGTAATTGTTACAGACAACTGAGACAAGCATCAAAATATATGCAACAATATATCAATTTACACTAATTGTATATTCAGTACTAAAAATTATATTGTTTTTGAATTTTTTGTGAACAAATTATGGGAAGTGCAGTGGCAGATGTTTTCCATTTCAAAAAGAAACATTCATCAGATAATTTATATAAAGTATTTTATTTTTTAATTTAATTCAAGTTCAACAATTACAGTTTACACTATTTTTTTCATGGCTTTTGTTAATACAGTATTTTAAGTTACATTTCATCATGAATATCTATATCAGGGTATCATATAGGCTACTATTCCATCAAATTAATGAAATAATAACTCCTGAACAATGAGACTGAAAAGTTCTTCATCATACTTTCAAAAAAGAAACAGCTAACTTCTAAGTTAACCCATAGCCTTTGACTTATTTGTGTGATGTTTCCAAAAAAAAAATCCACAAGGACCACAACCTAGTGTTTGGATATATGTTACATATTAGCTTTCATAACACTTGAATCAGCATTTACCTATTATACATTTCCATACAGTTACTTTTATATGTGTACCTACTTAACAAAATGAATGCAGCAACAAGACTACATTGGTATTCGTAATTGCAGAGTGACATATTATATTTATATAACATGCAACTTATCAATTGCTTAATTGACAGCCATTTTTAACTCACAATTTACTATGTTCAACAATGCACCACTGGCACCTTTATTTCAAATGGTTACTGATCTGATACATATAAAGCATGGACTTCAGAAGAACTTGCTTACATCCCTCTTCAAGATGGAATCTGTCAGCCACTGTAAATATGACAACATGCAATATAACAATTATGCAAATTAAGATTGTCATCACCAACATTTTTTGCAGACTATTTCATACTATTTTGCTCACAAGTTGTGAAAAACTGCATTCATATTTGCAATTCAATACTTCCATAACCTTGACTTGTACAATGACTGATGAATCTAATCTATACCAAAGCACTCAAAATACAATGACACAGACAGACCTGATGATCACTCAAGGAATTTCATTTTATCAAGATGAATTCATAGACAAGAAGCATTTCAAGGAATGATATTCAAAGAAAACTAACTTATGTCGGATCATCACTTACTCTATTGTCTCAAATGTACTCAAGATTACGGATATTTACGCACGAAGCAGCACACTCACTCATCACACATTTCAACTCAAGACATTCTACAAATACACAGGCATTTTAATCATATAACACTCAAATAATATTTGACATTTGCTTGGATGTGCATTCCTAGAACAATAAATTGTTTGCTTCTATGAAACAGCAAAGAACTGGAAAAAGAATGGTATCTGATGCAACATTTTTCAAAAGAAGGAAATGATGGTATTGTATAATACATTTGCTGCAATATACAGCCATGGACAGAAGATTATGGTATTTTTTTATTCATAAATTTATGGTAATTTTGTAATATATTTCTATCTTATTGTTATTTTTTCTTTGTATGTTATACATATCATGATAAACATTAAATTAATAATATTAATGAGATTTTATTTTCATGATTTATTTTACAGACAATCCTGAACCTGGAATGGGACAGCAACAAGCTCTTCTTGGTGACGCCCCTGCAGGGTATGGACGTGGGGGTTATGGTGGAGGTAACAAATTGCTATTTTAATCAATATTGATTGGTTTCGAAGTCTGTAAGATTATCGCATGTTTATCTATCAAATGCTAAATAAAAATTGGGCAAAGAGTTATTTTATTGCTTTCCAATGGCCATGTCGCTTCTAATAAATACAAGAATGTAAGCTAACTTTCTAAATTTATAGTTGGAAAGTTACAGGATCAGTATGACAGCACCCAAGACTATTCTATTCTCACTCACTATTTATTTGAGAAGGGCTATTCAAAATTAACTTGATTTCGATTGACAAAAGTTTTTTATTCAATTCTCCACTCCAGCTCAGAGAAAATTATATGATTATAGCAAAATCTTTGGCTTATGCAAATCGTCTTGAATTATCTGTTGAGATTAATGATCAGTCAACTTTTGAAGCTTTTTGGGTTTATATGGGAAATTTTGAATTCCGATATCACCAATAAAAGCACAAAATTCAATCTCCTACTTTGTGGCGAGTTCACAGAAATGCGACTTTCGACTCTGACAGCAATATCAATAAAAACAGGCCACTCTCCACAACCCTATTCAAGATTTCTGCAGTTGAATGTCGATACCAATCATTTACAGGTATGGGATCGGGAATGGTGCATGCTCCTCCCATGCGTGGTATGGCCCCAAGACCTCGACATCCTATGTCTCCTATGGGAGGCCTCGGATCTCGCGGAAGAGGAGGAATGATGCCTGGCGTCAGACCACAGAGACATGGAATTATGGGAGCACCACCTCCACAGCAACAGGTGTTTAAAATATTTTTATTTTATTCAATGATGTCTAATGTAGTGGTGTTTCGCGGAAGGCCACACAGGGCTGTTGGATGGGACACAATACCAGCCGCCTAGGCTGTTATATGGCAGTTTCATTTTATTTTTTATTTATTTATCGTGTCTCACACGATCACACATACGGAAATCATCTGGCATCTAACTGCTCCAAGAAAAATATACACGCACACAAAAAGTGATTTCCGGTATAAATGACCGATATAAATTTATAACTAGAGCACAGGAAGGGTTATTTCTCAGCACAACTTGAAATAAGTGCCCATGGGCGGACTACAGACCAGGTGGCTTACCGAAAATGTCAGTATCAGTTTTAAAAATGAATCAAAAATGAAAATTTATTTGGATTTGTCATTTCATCGCATTTTTGGTTAAGCATATAGTGTCCACTGTGCATTATTTGCCACTAAATTAACTCCATTCCAACCAGCTGAATATTTTTTTATCTGTGGGCCACATAACCAACTTCAAACATCAAGCTTGGCCACGAAAAATTAAGCGTGGAAAGGCAACAGAAGAGAATGCGGATATCGTTCAGCTTCAGCAGTTAATAAATGCACCTGGCAATGGCAAAAAGATTTAACGCAGCGAAAAAACATTATCGGTATACATTTTTCATCCATGTGAGCGTGCCTTTACAAACATAAACTGTCAAATTAGGATTTCATACTGGGTAGGGAAAAATCTGAGTGTTGACAAAAGCCACAGCCACACTAAATGGCTTGGCTTGGCCACCTGTTGCATACCCCTGGTTTAAAGTATTTCTTCATTGTTAATATAGATGCCTGACTACAATGATTATGGTGGTGAAGATTACGGACAAGGCATTAGCCAGAGTCCGGTTGTGATGGTCTATGGTTTGAAGCCCGAGAAGATGAATGGAGAAAAGCTATTCAACCTTTTATGTCTATATGGAAATGTGCTGAAGGTACTTGCATCAAATATACAGTAAATGTTATATTATACATCCCTCTAGGACGGTGGTTCCCAAAGTTGATTGACCGGGGGCCAAAATGACCGTAAGGATATTCGCGGGCTGGGAAAGGGGAGCACTCGCAAAGGGCTGATATCGGTACCGATAAGTATAATTAAGCTACGTAACAATTGACGGTTTCTAGAACGCAAAAAGATGAAGGCTTGACGTGTTTAAAAACTACCGGTATATCATTTAGGTTCGACAGGCCACATTAAATTGTTCTGCTGTTTGGGAACCACTGCTCCCAAATACAGCTCTTCAACTGAATCCGTGGTCAATTGTGGGATCTGTTATTACGTTTGAATTCGATGCAACCATTCATGCTTCAAATTTAAAAAAAAATTTCTATCCTTGTTTTATCATATTATTTTGAAGGTAAAATTCCTGAAAAGTAAACCTGGTACCGCAATGGTGCAAATGGGAGATCCAGCATCGGTTGATCGTGCAATCCAGAATCTTTCTGGAATAAGATTCTTCGGAGAAAAACTCACTCTTGGGTCAGTACTCAAGGAATACAATTTTTGAATTCGATTTTTTTCAATCATGTTATAAAACATACTTTAGCTGTTCAAAGTTCAAGAAATTATAATAATCTATTCTGAAAAATGGAACTGCTCAACTAGTTCTTTAAATTTCCTTTTTAAAGGCCTTCAAAACAGATGTTTCTGACAGATTCCGGACAAATTGGTGAACTGGATGACAAGACACCCAGTTTTGTTGACTTCTCAAATTCAAGAAATAACAGGTTTGTGGCCATCTCATTCTCTTTTCAGTCTGATAGCAATTCATTCATTTTATACTAGAAAACATTTCCTATAGCATAACAAACTATCATTGCTCTAGTTTGGGATTTGAACCCGTACTGTGTAATCTACGATGCGAACACAGTAAATTCTAACACTTTAACCATTAAGCCGCTCCAACATGCTATATCACTAACTGTTCTACTTTACCGCTGTTCAGATTTACAACAACCGAGCAAGCTGCCAAAAACCGAATTCAAAAACCTGCTCCTGTCTTGCATTATTTTAATGCACCTACAGATATGGATGAAGAAAAGACAAAACAAGTAATATTTTATTCGTCTTAGAACTTGTTATCTTCAAATTCAGTTTATGGTAGCCTCTGCTTATTTTTTACAGTACCACTATTGGTTGGAATTAATTGCAATCTGAATTTATTTCTAAATGAGTGTGTGTGTGCCACAAAGAATGTTTTGAATTTTTATGAATGTAATTTGTAACGTTGCTTTATCAGGGGGAAATGTAATGGGTACAAACTGTGTAGAGATTTGTATGTTCTACTTTTAGTAAAAACGAAATATTTTAATTTCATTATCCTTATCGAAATTCATTTTTTTGACCTAGCTTTGTGAAGAACTGTCTGTGGCTCCACCAACAAGATTCACTCAATTCAAAACACGCAGTAAGTAGATTCTCGCAAGTCGCAACCGTTATTGAAGATATATCTTTGTTTTCAATATATTAGTCTCACGACTAAGAATTGTGTAATCATTATCATTTTGCGAGTATATTTATTACAAGCATAGCTGGGGAGCTGGTTCGAAATCAAGGTGTCTTCAGAGTCACAGTATATGCAAACTGTGGGTCTAGTTTCGGCTTTGTTGTTGAATTTGTGACCACTACCACAAATTTTTCAGCCCAAATGCAGTTTTGTTGCAGCGAGACACTTAACTTCTAAATATATAAATTCAAGTTGAAAACTTTAAATTAATAGTAGTAATTGATTAAAAACAAACGTAAAATTTTTTTCAAATTTTTTTATTTTTATTAGGTTTTAGCGAAATATAATGTTAAAATAATAAATTGATTGTTAGGAGCTGGAGCCACTAAAATTTCTGGCAGCTTTTCTGACTCCTGGATATAAATCCTAATTTTTATATTTTATTTGATTTGTAGATATTAAAAATTATTCTTATTTGCGTCTATTAGATTGTATACTTTTCACCACGTGTTGTAATCCTGAATAAAGAGAAAATTGAATCGTAAAACTTTTCATTTCACCAGGTGAGAGAAGTTCATCGGGTTTGTTAGAATTCTCAGATCGCAGTGAAGCGATGGAATGCCTTGCAGTTCTGAATCATTACAAGTTAGAAAACCCAGGTAATTTTTAAAACTACTTTTTAACATTAATTTATGAAAATTTCTTGGCGTTTCACTGGCGTTCATAACAAGATACAGTTCACCCAAAGTAATTCTTAGTTCAAGCTCGATGAGTAAGTAATCCAGTTATTCTAGAATTTATACCAGAATTCAGAGTGGTTATTATAAAATTTTCACTATATTCAACGCTGACATTTTACATTACTCTTACTCCACATTTTTTCGTTACAGTTGAAGCTAGGGTACATTTCAAAGCCTGTATTTCGAAGTACAACCACATAGAATTTGTTTTCCATGAGTTTATTTGACATCATTTATGACAAGTGCAATAACATAAATTAAAAAGTTGAGTCACTATATAACACATATTCTGTACACTAAAATTCAAAATCTAACATATGACAAAATGTATTTAAAACATTCAAGCAAGATATGCAATTCCTTTAATATTTTGAAACCGTTTTAGGTGGGCGCTATCCATACATATTGAAACTATGTTTCTCAACATCAAGCAGTTCACAAAATTATGGGCCGAATTACCAGCGTGAATGAACAAAGCAAGCAAGAACAGTAATTGTCATTAATGTACATATTTTGTGGCAAGTAGCGTTGGACAATAAATTTATGAAAAATAAAGAGAAGTGACAAAGGACAATAAGAACATTGCTAAAAAAGATGAATTGATAATAAAAATTATTCTTCATTGGATTATGGTCGATATCTGTATTAGTATGAAAATCCATAAACATCGCTGGGTTTCTTTGAGAAAAATGCATCAAAAATATCATTTACGCTTCTCTGTGTTTCATAGTGTTGTTGATATCGTTGTTGGCCATAGTTTTTCCATTGTTCTGATTTTTTGTAATCTGGCCCTGAATTTCATACATTTGTGTTTTTTATGTTAAGTCGCAATCAAATTTATTTAGGACAGTAATGATTATGAAAATTGTGTCGAATATCTCAAATTTTTAACTGGATCTAGGATGATTGTGATCTTTCCTCTATTGTATTTTTGTAGTGCTTTTTTTAACAGGGATGATTTGGTTGTTAACAAGCAATAAACAGTTTTAATGCAAAAAATGGAATGTGCATTCATACATTCAGTAGATCAGGCAAAAGTTCTCATGTTCTGCTTGAAATCTTCTACCTTTCTAGATAACCTTGCCTGGCGTTTTCTCAGCATAGTAAGATCATTTTGCATGTCTCTCAATTGACTGCTCAATCCCGCGTTTGCTGGGAAAGTAAGGTTGAAAATTGGAAAATGTGAAGTGCCAGTTCTATCTGGCTATGTGACAGGCGAATTTTTAATTTATGCAAATTGATAGTTTGAGAAATCTTAGAGAACTAGCACTAAATGTATATTCCGGTTACTACAGACCTTCATGCATGTTTCTTGTCATTCCAAAAGCATTCTTCATTAATTCATCCATATCTTTTATGATATTACCGAACATTGTTTCACCTTGAAATAGATTTGGAACTCTTCTCCTCCATTCCTCACGATCCTTAGAATAGAGGGTTTGTCAAGTGGTGCTGTATTATATATTAGCTCACAGCTGACAAGAAACTGCAATGTTTGATATAATTTGTATCAAATGGTTTGGTGGTATATTTTTTGAATTAGAGGCATGAGAATAAACACAATCTCCATACCAAATCTATTGGGACCATCTGTAAATCTCAATATAACTTCTAAAAACTTTAAATGTGTCATGTTGCGGACACAATTTACTCCAAAGCACATACTGGTTGCCTCTACTAACTTCAAAAAAGTCTTTGAATAATCCCTCATGGCTTTCTGTTGTAAAGTCTGAGAAGAAACTGAAGTTATCTCTGGTTGATGGATATTTGTAATGTGCTCTTGCTCTTCTTTCACTCTGTTTTCGAATATAGTCTTCTTGCTCTTTTTCCATTCTTCTTACTGGAATTTGTAGAATGAGGAGAAATAGGAAAAAAGAACGCTAAGTTGCACATGTATAATAAAAAATATATCTCTGTTACTTTTTCATCAGTAGGGATTGGAAAATAGAAAACTCTTTCAAAACAGGCTTATTTGATATGAAATGTCAGCCTTTCGCATTGTGGGTAAAAATATTTAATATCTTCATTATTTTTTTTAGTTGAAGCAGGTAAGGTGATAACAATTGTTGGATAAGATAAAATTTACGTTGAGAATACTTTTTTCATCATGTCTTCTTTGATTCATTGTTTCATCATATTCTTTCTTTTGTCTTGCTTCTTCATCATAATCATACCGTTTTGTTCCTGAAATAAATAAATTTGGTAAACTTGATTCACTTAACGACACAGCAGACTCATTCGCCACAAACACAATTTAAAGTTACCTTTCTGTTTTGATATAAAACTATTGGCATGTGTTTGGAATTGGCTTTTTGACTATAAAATATGCTTGTAAATAACATTTTAAGCCTTCCTTTTTCCGCAATATACCATGTATCAGCTGGTGTAATCATATGGACTTGAAACAAAAGTTTTAACGAACCGTCACATAAAACATGATAAGCCTCCGATATTTCTTTGAATTTCTTTTCTGAAAGATCTTTCTCATTTGGATTTTTATCAGGATGCCATTTCTTTGCTAAATTTTTGTACCTAAATTCATAGAAAATGATTGATAGATCGCTGTTAGTTCGTACAAACAATTTATTGAGATAAATATATTTAAATGAAATATTATAGGGCCCAGACAATGCGATGTTTTCTCATGATGCAATGAAAAATAATTTGAACAGAAACAACAAAGCATAAGGGTCCAAGTTGTTCAACTTTCCTCATACTAGTACAGTTGTATGTGATTAACAATTCACTATAATCAAAAATGACTATTCAATACTTTTTACAAACTATAAGTTCTGAAGTTCAACATTTTGCAGTCAATGATTTCGTTTAATATATATTTTCAGAATGAGGCATTTTTTGACCATTTCATACGCTAAAAAACTACTTGCATCGCCATACGTAATTTATTTTACAGCGAAAGATTTTAAACGACAGAATGATGTCAATCAACTATTCCTCAAATAAGCATATTTATTCAGCATAGAAATCTCGTCTTGTATTCAGTTGCTAGCTAGAGCCTACCTACTGTAAAAGATGCGAAACCTACAATTCATCTCACTTCTGCACTTGGTATCGAGCTAGCTATTTTTAAATAATAACTTACGCTTTTTTGATTTCATCCATTGATGCATTTTCAGAGACGCCCAGTGTGCGGTAATAATTTTTGTTGTATACCATGATTGCAGGAAGAGGAAGTCTTTTCAATGAATTTGCCTACAGCAACAAGTTTCGTAACCAATTGATTTAACAACTAGTTAGATAACGAGGTAGGCTGAAAAGGTTAACTAAAAAAGTTATCACGTACGAGGTATTAACATGGTTAACTGAATATAACGTCATGTTTCTATGGTTACGACACACGGCATTTAGTGACACCTTGTGAAAAACTTTTCAATCAATCAATCAGCTTTTACATACACGAAATTAAATGGATCGTTATGTTATTATGTTGTTGGTATTTTTTTTTCTTGTTGTTGTGAAAAAATCGCTTTTCACTTTAACTACAGGCCCGATCGCTTTGAAATTTTCAGTGATGAAAGATGATTGTCGTCACTAGGAGGCTATGGATATTCCCCTGTGCATCGATTTTACTTGTTTATTTCCGTAACAATTACAAATCAGCAATAAGTTAACAATGACGTAACAATCATTATTTATGCCGCCGACACCAGTGGCGTAGGGGGTGGTTTTGCGGGTAGAAACCCCCCTCCCCCCTTTTAAAATGTGAAAAAAAAAATCTTTTTTTTCCATCATAGATAGCAATTTTCCGTAGCTTGAAATGCTTTTTAGATCCCCCCCCCCCCAAGACTACTAAATATACGCGTATTCCAGCGTTCGATCGGACCCGCTAGCTGTTTCAATCTAACTTGGCAGAAAAAAATTCAGCCCCCCCCCTTGAAAATTGCTGGCTACGCCCCTGACTCAGACTACGAGAAAAGATTATTTATATAATTGCCCCTCACCAATTATTCACTTTTCGACATAGCTATTCCCTTGAATATGCTAATTTACACTGTAATTATCATTCGAATGGGAAGTTAGAATACTACCAAACTATACGGTTACAATATTAATAAGGCCTTCCGCAAAGACATGCGGCCCATGAATCACAATTCTATCACTGCCTTCCCCAACACTCGACATAACCAATATCACCAGTTGCACATCACATTGTCAACAATCCCCATTGTCCGTTTGACGACTTTGTCTATGTCCTCTTCGCCTTATAACCTCCGCAGATATCGCGTTACAATACAATGGCGGCTCTTCATTCCAAGTAGATGTGTCAGTGAACAATAACCACATTCCAACATGTAGAAGTTGTTTATTGTAGCTTTTCAGAGTTTACAAGCATGGCAATACCATAATAAACTGCTTTCTATGAGTGTTAAGTGTACCCAAGATAAGGTAACAGTAGCACAGAAAAAAGTGCCATCAACAATCAAGCAAGATATGGTATGATTTTTATTAGACACAAATAACAAAAAAATAGAGTAGCAAAAAAAGAATACAGATATTAAAGTTGACCAATTCAATCAGAAATCATCAGTTTAATCACAAACAACTGGAAGATCTTAATGTCACACAAGGTAAAGGTGAGGAGACAGATATATTTTGGAATATACACTATTACACTTGCATCCAAACTGAAAAAATATGGTTTTAAAACTACTTGAAGATACACAATTTCAATCGTATTTTTCACAAGATGCAACACACATTGGTACGTTTTACTATTGTTAACAAAAATATTGTGGCCAAATGACATAGCAGCACCAGCTGATAATAAATTAAATATAACATTCATTGACTTGAATTTTTCTTTTTACTTTCAGATCTCAGTTCCAGTTGGCAGTTTTCGATAAGTAATCTTAATTCCTGCATTACTTCACCCTTGTGGCTGTGTGTAATTTGTAGTACCTTCAAAGCCTAAAAATATTTATTACAAAACAATTTGAAGGTGGACCTATCAATAGCGTTGCCGGCTTGTTCTTGTTAACACTGCTGTTAGATTTCCAGCATATAATCCAAGATGTACGATCTTACTCTAAGAGCTACACTTTTAGAATTTTCATATATTCTCCTCTATCTAGCCAAATTTTGCTGTTTTTAAAAAAATAGTGCCACCAGGTTTTTGTAGTAGTTCTGAGTGTTATTTGTCAACAAAGGTGGATCAAATAACTTGGATGAAGGTCGTTTTGTCTCCAAACGTGTTTTGTTAGGCTTGACTACAACTAATTTTAAAAATTTATTAATTTTACGCCATTAACATCATTTCATCAAAAAGACTTAACTTAACGACTCTGGAAGCTATGAATCGTAGTTTTGTCTTGTACTACATTAGATAGTACAACTTTGCAGCATTCCTGACATGAGAAGCTGGACATTGTGCACAATGCAAGACACATATGGGTACCCACAATATAGCGAAGTGCGATCTGGTGGACTATATGCTTCCACTGAGATTGTGAGACTCAAGTCCTAATCCCGAATCCTAGTAAGAATCTTAGTTAACCTTAGTAAACCACCAACACTTGGTCAAAGTTCCTTACCACAGGCATAGGCCTACCCCTGGAACCCAAATTTATGTCTCTTACATAGCCCACACAAATTTCTCTCTAGGAATGATTGTATTACCGCACATACCTCAACCAGCATACGAATTGCTTCCCCATTTCTTTTTGTGTACAAAAGTATTTTACCAAGTTTCATCATTTGCAAACCAGTTAGTGGATTAACATCTTGAAGATATGATCTATTTAATAAAAGTAAAATAAAATTCAATTTACGGAAAGATTAAGGATTACTGTGAGAACACAAATACTATCGAAAAAATATGATATTTTTAGCATGAGTAATAAAAGGGTTAGATATAGCCAAATACAGACAGACAAACAAGTTATCACACATGGAAAACACAGTACTTTTATTAAACACAAATTGGCCATGTGGATTGTTTTGCCAATTCATTGTTGTTACTTGTTAGTCTTGTGCTTCTGTTGCTTTTTGGGGAGATTTTTTTGGTGCAGAATAAAAATTCTTTTCCTTATTTGACCATCTATCTCAAATTTTCAGAACTTAAATTTGGAAGCAACATCTTGACAACTATTACTTTATTTTTTTTCAAATCTCCTTATCTTATGAGATCTAGTATTTTTCCCGAATTCAACTGTTTTATTTCAATTCACAGGCTTAATATTGGCTGCATCATTCATAAGAATATATTATTATGATATTTGTGGAAGAAAAAAAAGTTATTAAAAATAAGATTCAGCTGACAATCAAAAGAACATATTAGGGTCATACCTGTATGCTTTTAGTGCCATTGCACCATGGTGGAATGCTTCATCAAACTTCTGTAATTGTATGCAAGCGTCCATCGAAAAATCATGGATCTGAAGCAATTTTGAATAAGAGAATAAAACAAGCACATTATTAAAGCACAACTTTGTGATATCCAACAGTTTTTAAAATCCAATATTGGTTACTGTGTGTACTTTGTTCGGTGCTCCAGAAGTATGTGTACCAATACGGAGGTAACCAATTTTGTTTGCCTACTCACATCGAGTTGTGTAAAGGGATCGAATCCTATGGGCAGGGGGTATATTCACTTGGCTAACACAGACAGTCCCCGAACCAAAATGAGGAAAATCTGAATGAAATTATGGCCTAACCCTATCCTGGTACACACACTACGGGAGTACCTTTGTTCTTTGTATCACCTAAAATAAAAACTACAAATTTCACTCTTCAACCGTCACACAATATGAGGTCACCACATCTATACTACGTAAAAATAAAGAAATCTTACCCTTGCCATATATACATTTTCAAGGGGAAGGACCTGTCTCGCAATGAATCCCGATGTTAGGTCTCTTATCTCTCCATAATCACCTGCTTTTCGTGCTTTGTCAAGATCTTCTAAAAACCTTTTTACCGCTGTTATTTTGGGGGAATTTATTGAAAGTATTTCATTGTTGAAGTCACTCAACATATTCCCATCCTATGAAAAATATCAAAAGTAATATATTATGTTACATGATCAATTGGAATGTGTTTAAAAAGGCGCTCACATGGGTAAACCACATGTTTTTTTGCACTTGTTGCTGAGGTTAATCTTCCGCCATTTGAAAAGTTTTGTATGGCCCAGGCCGCCCAGCTAGATGTCTTAAATTGGTCCCATGGCCCACCGGCAAAAAATGTTGCACACCCCTGGATTGCTGCTACAATTGAAGCCAGAAATCCAACATAAAATATGAATGTTAGCCAAGAATAACTGATTAGTGATTGTGGAAAATGACGTCACATGATGATTTTCAAGTCTAAGTTCTGAGATCAGGTATTGTTGGTATATCCCGGGGATAAGTGAATGTGAGGGAATAAGAGATACTATTGAATAAATAAACAATACTCACATGCATTCTGTTACTACATGCAGGGCATTTACATTTAAATCTATAAATATTTTGAAGTTCGTCTTGTCTGTCATGACTTGGTGCCAGTTGTTCAATGTATGATATTGTGAGCTGATAAAAAAAAAATTGGAAAACTATTATAACTAGAGAAAGTAAAAAGTAGCAAAGGTTGGAACATGTCAACATACAGTTGCTGTCATACAAGTCTTCGTTGATTACAGAAAAGAGCTAGCTGGGAGTGGTTTAATGATACCTAGGCCACAACAGAGTGACCCAAATAAACAGAACCCATCAATTTCTTAATTACGGTACTTTTACTAAAAAAAGTTTCTAGGACGATTTGCACAAAATTTATGTCCTCTCTAGAATATTATGTTTCACATGAACAGGGTTCATGTTTTTTTCTAGGGTGGAAGAGAGTCACTCTTATGACAAAGGCACAGGACAAGTTATGAGATTATATATGTGATAAAAACAATCTTTGCAGATATCTTTTTGTTTGATGTAATAACAGATTAAATTCTCACCTCTTCACCTTCTTTCAAATCTCGCAACGTTCGTATATTCAATTGTAATCGATCAAATACGGCAATACAGTTTGGAACGCAACTGTGATTTATTAGACTGCAACTGTAAAATGAAAGAGTGAAGTCATAAAGTTTGTGAAATTGAAAGACAAGGTGGTCAACTGAGGTACAAATTTCTATCCAGAATTTTATAAAATCATATGAATTTCTGAAAAATAGAGCAGCAGAAAACAGCACTATTAATATAAAATCGGCATATGAATTTTGTGTCAATAACAGAAAAATATACCTCAAATATATTCCTGTGCCAATATCGGACTGAAGTTCTTCATCACAAATAGCAAAACTGTTATTTTTTAACTGAAATATAAAGAAGAATTATTTAATCATTAAAAACTTCCTCTCAAAGCAGAAGTAATAGTTACTTAAACATTGGTCGTACCTTAAAATCAAATCCGCCCAATAGCCCTTGCAGAAGGAAGCTATTCGAATTGTGATTGGGACCATAAATTCATCCCTACTTTTAATTACCCAAATCCAACTGAAAGTGATAATAAAATTATGTTCCGGAACAGAAGGGGTTTATTATTTCATATCTACAGCATTTTGCTCTCCAATATTGGTTCTCAAAGCAGTCAGTTTCATACCCCTACTTCTCAAGTCAAAAACAGCCAATCTGCGTTGCATTATTTATTTGTAAATAAAAAGGATACACGTACAAAGTGCTTCAAATCTGTTTGGAAGATTCCATTCCAAGCCGTTTATATCTGTTTATAAATTTTGTTAAAAAAATCTGTAAAAGCAAACCTTTGCGCAAAGTTCTAAAACCGCTTTAATATCTGGAACTTGAAGAGGTAACGTTCCAAGACCCCAATATGAATGTAAGATTACAACAAATTGCCCAAGTGTTTCCTTTTGGCCTTCAGTGAGTCGGTCATAATCTGTAACAAGAGAGTGAGTATATCAAGAGTGTTAATAGTAAGTTTATAGTGCAGAAGTACAAAAAAGAGATAGACATGAAATATTGATAGTCAGAACATAAAAAGTGTAAGAACTTTTGTTTTATTTCTCATTTATTTTGATAAGAATACAAGCTAATTTGTTGAAGATCAACTTTTATGTTTGAACAATCTCATCATTGAATTTGCTGGAAAAAACAAACAAAACTTACTAGATTCAAGGTCCATTATTGAAACCAGATCTTCTGTTTTATTGTCATCTAACGAGTTTTCCTGATAACACAATATCAAAATAACTATTCAATTTATGATATAAAAAATTGGATAAGGTATGCCTTAACCAGCAAGAACCTGGTGCTTTTTTGAAACAAACATATAGATAACTTCATGAAGATATAAATAAATAAGATGAAGGCTTATACATTGTGCATGTGCTCATAGTATGCATGCTCATATTCACATATACTGGATATTATGACATTCCTATCATGAAATTAATCTGCTTTTCCACAATGATTAATTATATTATTACTGAATTAAAAATGTTAAATTTGATAAAACATATAGTGGATAATATTTTTATGAGGTGAAATTGATAAACCAAAAAGAAATTGTTATAAATATTATTGAAACTCACTAATTTCCAAAGTACTCTCCCCAATAAAATGACAAAATCAGGAGGAACTTTAGGAGATATTTGTTTCAAGGCTGCACATTCTTGTTTATGCTGTGACCATGCTCCTTTCTAAAAGATAAGAATAATAAATATTGCAAATTATAATTTGCCAAATTTATTTATTACAGGATAACAACTACGGTAATATTTGCACATGGTAAGTGAATAACTATGTCGCATCAACATTTCTTAATATATATATATATATTACTTTCTTACTCCTACACTATATTAATAAGCCATTTATAAATGATAATACTGAAACATACCTGACAGTTTTTGTCACAATATCTCATAAATTTACAACCGGAACATCGAAGCAAAGTCTCTTGTCTGCAAAGAAGTAACAAATTAAAACAAGCTCAAATTGTAGACTAGTAGATCGAGCAATACCCATTATCATGTATTACAGAGTTACTGACAGGCTAGAGTCAGTACAGTACGGCACACTATACAAATCTGGTTACATTGTCCTGTTTCAGAGAAACCCATTTTACAGATGATCAGACACCCCTCCTTCGGGAGACGTCTGGACATTGTTGTCCCTCAATATCGGGTAATACTACAGTATAATGAAGTTGCGCAAAATACTACAAAAAAGCGCAATCTAGTAACGTCATCATTGAATTCCTTGGGAAAAAATAATCCGATTTACCGGAGGAAAAAAAATTTTACCGTAGCATTCGAGAGTTTTCAGCAAAAAACGGCAATTTTGGTCATGTGACGGCCGCGATTAATTTAGATTATTATTGAGACAAGCATGGCGTGATATGAAGCATCTGACGTGGTCCCAGACGCCCCTCGTTTGTGAGACACATGGAGTGTTTGTTTTATTGAGCCAAATGGAGGGAAATTCTTGGAATTTGGATAGTGTGCTGTACTGCAGTACTTGCTGACTTATGGCATTGAGAAAATGTAAAGCGAATTATTTACATGCCTGCATAGGTACATACAGACATATGCAAGAGGACTATTACTTCCCTTCTCTGGCTATATTCAACCGATTTATCCAGCTGTTCAGTTAGAATAGATTACTGAATTATGACATTGTCAGATTTATATATGTTGCATTTTCAATTAGAAGACACTCACTTTTGAAAACAATGATCACATCGAATTCCTTTCTGTTCGTTAGCCAGTAGGTACACAAAAGGTTCTGAGCTCATCAATACAGTTCCCCTTCTAATTGACGAGGTGCATCTTAATCCTCGTCCTTTATCGTTGGAGACAAATATTTCCAGCATAATTTTGTTTCTACAATGTACCGATGAACAAACTGTTTCGCCGTGTGTTGAAGTGCTGTAAGATTCATAAAATAGAATAAAACTTCACGTATCTGCTATATACAGATATATGGACAATAGTCTAACAATAAATAGCGCAAAGACACATTGCCAGTCGTGCTACTGTGCTAACGAAAACGAGTGCGATTATTAGCGGGTATTTGCGAATAGCGCGAAAACTGATTATCGCGAAAATTTAACGACGTCTTTTTTCGCAGGTTTTTTGTAAAATGTTTATTGAAATATTCTATTTGACTTTTAAAACATTTTTGCAAAATAATGCAGTATAAAATAATAATAATACCAATAAACCTCGTCGAAAATACACATTCTACAAACATAGGGGCAAAGGTTAAAGGGTAAACATCAATCATAATGACCGAACGTGCTCTCAACATGGTTATTTTAAGGCCAACAACGGGTATGCGATAATGTGGGCACGTCTGTAGTAAAGCAGGGAATGAGGACCTCGAAGCAATCGCCGAGATGAAAAAGAACAAAATGCAGAAATGAGAGCGGGTGAATTGGATGTCTGCGGAAATAAAGTGTGTTTTCAGAATGCCGAAATAAATTGGTATATATAAATATTGTACAGTTCGTTAAGCTCTTTTCCTCTTTCTGAATACGACGTCGAAGTTCAGAAAGTTGAGTTTTCGAAATAAGCTGTGTATGACTGTATGAGTATATTCTGCTCTCTACTGCTTTAAAATACAATAATTACAAGGCGCATCAGTAAACTTAAACTTGGCATATGTGATAGACTTCTGGACTTTGTTATTGTTCAACATTTCTGCCTCTCTACCACCAGACCACAAAACAATATCAAGTCTATGCTTCCAAAAACGAATACCTCGCTAACTAATCCCATACCCAACCTAGACAGGTAACCAGACGAGAGGCCGTGGTTCACCATATGATTATGCTATCTTATCGCCTTTCCTCTCCCTCTGGATAAATATGTAAATCCTATCCTACTCCAATACAAAAATCAGTCCTGTGAATATATGCATTACAAAATGTACATGCCCTATAAACAATGGTTTAAACTCACCATACTGCCATATCTTTTTACATGCTCAAGTCAGACACTCGTGAAGCACTTTGATCAAATTCACTCATAAAATAGTTATTGTGTAAAAAATTAGGCATCAATCGGCAATTTATTAATTTTTCATGTCGGTTTTCAGGCAAATTTATATTGAGATATTACTACAATCCCAATTGCTGAATCATGTTGGAAGCCTTTATTAATCTAATAAAATTGATTGTTATAAAATTTAGTTTGAGAAATGAACTCATGACCACTCATATTATAATGATTTTCTGGTGTTTACAGAATATTGTAAACTTGTAGTTTTTTTGTATTGTTATGGATAAACCTGTTCAAAGCGACCCAGTGATACAGAAGCAACAAGTGTGTGGCAAGATAGCAAGACCCATTCGGAAAGACGGTCCAATCTAAGAGACTTATTGTAGTTTTAGAAAAAGCATCACTAGAGACTGTAAAAAATGGAAAAACATTTGAACTACTGAATTGTGACAAGCATAAAGGTTTGCTGAAGAACACAACAGAGATTTAGGTTTCCTGCCGACCAGATATCAACTCATCAGTGCCTCATGCATGCTCATGGATAGCCCATTGAATAGGGCTGGATTGCTTCAAGTTTATATTCACACAACAAACAATATTTTAATAGAAGTGCATCCGCAGACCAGAATCCCACGAACTTTTTGACAGATTCTGTGGACTTATGGTGCAGTTACTTCATAAACTAAGCGTGAGAGCTTGCTGATGCCAATTCTGAAACTCATTGAAAGTAATCAAAACCCTGTAACAGACTACTTTCCTCCTGGTTGTAAAGAGGATGTGCATGTCTTTTGGAGCCACAGATGTTGTACATCCAAAAACACTTGCACCACCAAATGAGGCAGTCGCATGTGTGATTGGAGCAATGGCTCATGGGTCTGTGGATGTCGACTACACTGAAAAATCTTACTCAATCAGCAATTATCCTCTTTCTGCGGCCCTAACTTGCACCAAACTATGCAGTGGGTTCGAAGAAAAGTGGGGGATCATTTGACATGCAACAATCATGTAATAAAATACCTTAAATAACACGCTTCTGGTATGTTTATTGATAAACCATAAAAAAACAGATCTGTTATTAGGTTGAAATAAAACAGTGTTGCCAGGTTTGAATAACTTCTTATAATTATAAAAATGTGTTAATTTTGGTTCTATATTCCCAAACTGGGAACAGAAACATAAGATGCATGCATCTATAGATATATCTGCTTGAATACGAGACCTATTTGACATTCTAATAATATGTAGTATTAAGCGCATCTCATGTTGAAACTGTGGAACATTTAATATCACAAATTGCTATAAGAATACCAAAAAGTCAGTTTATTAACCAATAATGGTCTAATTATCTTTAAAAGAACGATAGCTTGTGACCAGTCCACTGATCCAGAATATTTTGATGGTCATAAAAACTTTGGAATCTTCAAAGATCTGTAGTTAGACTCCTTACAGTTCTTTTGTCAAGATTGTCCTGGGCAAAAACGAATCACCTACGCCTACGCTTTTTACGATCTTGGCGTTTTGTAGGCTTTTGAATCCTACCATTTGTTACAGGGTGTTTTCTCTTTACAATTAGGTTATTGTCTACAATGTTTTGCAATATTCCCCTTTCAGCCAGCATGGAAAGAAACATTCTTATAAAAGGGTCGTAATTATGAGTTCTCCGAGCAGCATCAATTTTGTATTTCTCTATTTTATCATGCTCTTCTTGTAGAGATAATCGACAAGATCTAATATTCGTTTCAAGGTTAAGCAATATGCGCTGAACATCCTTATTGAGACGGAACTTAGAGATTTGTTTTCATTTTCCCCAACCTCCCTTCCAGATATATCCATCTGCAAGAGCTTTCTGTCCATGATAAGTGCTTGAATATCTGATAATGACTTGTAT